AAAAAGATTTCTTCCTTTCTTAATCATTTATAATTGAGGCAACGAACACATTGATTCATACACTACCGTAGTTCAGTATAAACCATACCCGATTCCAGACTGAAATGGGAAAAATCTATACCTGTTTTCAGACCAAAACGGCGCCAAAACCACACCCTTTGGTATGTACTTAAATTTTTCCGAATTTTGGCGGGTCGGTGTGATAGTGTACGTGTAGTGGTGAGATAGAGACATTGGGATACGAAACTCTTCGTTCGAACCCTGGGTTGGGATTTTCTTTCTTTTTAATAGAAACGTTCAAAATCAGGTCAAAAATTTTCCAGGTGTCTTAGGCTGCGTGGAAATGGACGCAACAACTCCCAACATCGTAGCGCCAACAATGTTAGGAGTAGTTGCGTGCATGTTGGCAATGGTGTGCAAACAGATGCAACAACTCCCAACAATGTTGGGACCTACAGTGCAACGTGGGATGGATACAACCCATAAGTCTTCTCGGCCCCAACAATGTTGGAAGAGCTGTGCAAACGGATCCAACATTGTAGCGCTACGCTTCGGCGATCACGGAACAATTAAAAAATGTTGGGAGTTGTTGCCTGCAAAGTTTGACTGGTTTCAAACTTTGCGCAACAACACGCAACAACATCCAACAACATGCAACAGAGTGTACAGACGGACGCAACATATGTAACATCCAACAATGTTGGGAGTTGTTGGTCAACAATGTTGCGTCGCGTCCGTGCCTCAGAAATGGCACCGAACTTTAACGAAAGGGACAACTACGGCGGCGCATACCTATCTGGCTTCCATAAGGGAGCATCCCCCCCCGCCCTGAGTCAAAGTGGTCCTTGCAAGATTTATTCGCTAATATATCATGCGGGATTTTGACGTTATAGACGGTGTGCTCCCGAAGACCCCCATCCCTGCCGCAGGAAGGAAAAATTAAACCCAGTCTGAATAATGATAAGGTCTTGAAACTCGCGCCGTAAAGAATAATGGCATTCATTTGTCTTCAAGTTGGATGGGGGCTTTAAAGCGGCTTTTGATCATGTTGATAGGCCATTAGCCCAGCGTGGGGGAGGGGGCTTGTAAGCCAAAGTTTACGGTATCCAGCCCCTCCCCTTGAATAGATTTTTGGTGGACGATAGTCTTACCAAGCACTTTTACTTTCTGGTTATTTTAAACTTAGTGCCTTCATTCGGGGAAAGGAGATGCTTATGCAAACAGCGAAGCTTACTCAGTGTCGATTAAAATGGCCGCACCTAGCTATATAGTTCAATTTATCCGTAAAAATTGGGTAACTATGATCCAGGTTTTGCATTTATAATTCAAAGAAACATATGTTTAGTGATATAATGATGTCTCTCACTAACTTTTCTCATTATTAGTACAGATGTTCTTAATTCCAACAATTGGCGTTTCATCTACCTTGGAATACAGGCCTACGTTAGTTAATGACACACAGGCGTCTCAAGCTCACGTTACGAGTGTGATATGTAAGTTGACTTCCTCATAAGAGAGTCGTTGTCGCGTTACAAGCAACCGTTCGACACAGGAAAATTGAACAATGTAAACAGAAGGTCATGCCATGCGTGTTACACAAAACAACAAGACCAACAATCTTATCCAACTATCTCTTAGTTGATGCACAAGAGATTGGAGAGCCGCACTCATTAGACACCAAGAGAACAACAGGCACGTTGACATTTATTGTTTTTGAGCCGTTTAATGAGCTTAACGGATTCCTCTTTTTGTTGAGACGCGCGTATATAAATATGTGTTCCAGATGCAAAGCCTATAAAGGACTGAAGGAGACAACTCCTAAATATATAATTTCATCTTAAAGAAAACCACAACGGCTAGGAGGTTGGACGTTTGTGTCCGAAACAATGAGAAACTGGAATGAACTGTCCGCTTCTGGCCTAAAGAAAAGTAAAACGGTTAATCATTTTAAAAGAAATTGTAGGCCTGTTAACTGAAATTTCTCGCTAAGCAAAGAGAGATTGGAAATTTTCAAAGTCCTTTAAAGGACGTCCGACTGTACAAAATATTCTATGGCATCAAAAGCCATAATAGGACATTATGGCTCTTGATGTCATTTATTCGTTCATTCATTCATAATGATAATAAAATTCTCTATTAAAATCTTATAAAAATCTTATAAAAACTACACTCATTCATTCATTCATCCATCCATCCATTAGTTCGTTCGTTCGTTCGTTCGTTCGTTCGTTCGTTCGTTCGTTCGTTCGTTCGTTCGTTCGTTCGTTCACTCATTCATTCATTTACTCACTCGTTGATTAGTCCAGAAACTTAAATTAACCGCTTTTATGTGATTAGCACGACCCTGAGCATTCCACGCTAATGTCTGAAATGTCACACACAATCATCAGAGCACGGGATGTCCACTCTTATTAGCGAGATATGGATAACAAAACATTGGTGAACAATCTCGAAAACCATATCCTGTGCAAAGTGAGTCTCCTGGTCTGTTCTAATCGCTTATTATTCGTCAGCAACTAAGAAAAGAAATGCACATTTTTTTCTTTTCATAAAATAAAATAAACAGTTGATAACATAAACTTCCGTTAACGCTGACGATTAACATTTTAAAGCCTAAAATCAAAATTGAGATTCTCATTGACTGCCCCTATACCCTTTAAATAGAAGTAGTGGGGAGAATTTGATGAAATATTAGTTAGACTCATCGGCCCTGATTCATGTACTCAATTCTCATGACCACTCTGTTTTCTAAAGCATTGATATTATTAAAAGGAGAAATTTCATGTCTATCACTCTTAGGGCTTAAGGTTAAAGAGCAAACAGAAATTTCGCGGAAAAATGATCACGTGCACATTTATTTCAAATACATACCTGCCTTTGGAAGAAGATATGACGGATACTTTCTGAAATATCGACTTCACTGCTGAAGCCTTGAGCACGTTTTGATGCAACGCGGAAGGTAAGAATGAGGAAGGTCAACCGCAATGGCAGCTACTGGGCAGCTACACGTCAGCTGTTAAGTACATAATATGACATTCACGTCTTTTTGGGCCAATTTCAAAGGATCATTTTATAGTGGCAATCTCCCGTCAAAAGTCCGTCTTCTGGTGGCTGTAGAAAACGATTGTTCATATAGAGTTGAAGAAAATGAAACCTTTGAACTCATCAAAATCTCATCGTCTCCTTGATCTCGTTCCATCGGTGAAGCCATCGTTTGTTTCTGTGATATTAGTTTTTGTCTGCGGGGTTCTCTGGGTGAGGAACGAAACAACAAACGGACGACTCATCGCACTAGAATCTCGCCTTCACTGTTTTTCCTGTGTTAAGAGCATCTCGACTGAAAATCTTGACAAGATGACTCCTTCGCCGACAAAACATAGCGCAAAATATCATCACAAGAATATACGGACACCTATTTCAGAAGGGAGCGGCCATACGTACTCAGGTAAGGTATAGTTTATCTTGTCCTACGGGTAGCGTTCAGACATAAATATTAAATTTTGTCTTTTCTTCCTTCCGAACAAACCTTTCGGAGCTAAAGGTTTCTTCCGGTTCGTTATTAGTTTTTTGGGTAATGCACGTTATATAAAAACGCCTAGTATATAAAATACTCTGTATAAATAACTCTGCTTTGCTTTTTGACCAGTTTGTTATTACAGTCAACTCTCTGGCTGAGATGGACACCTTTGGGGCCATGCAGTGGGACTGGCCACTAAGTGTCTGGCTTAGAGAGATGTCAGCCTTATATTAAGTCAAATGAAGGGAATTAAAAAAAAAGGCAGGGACCAACTCTAAGTGGCCGCTATACAGAGGTGTCCGTCAAGAGAGAGCCGACTATATGATCAGAAGACCTCTTATGCAAGTAAAAAGCAATAAAGAGAGTCACGCTGTAAACGATAATTATAGAACTTTCTAGTAGTAAGAAAATTCCTTTTCATCCCCCCTTCATGCCCTTGGCATGCATTGCATAGTTTACATTGATGAATAAGGGGTGCTCACCATTTACACAGATTAAACAAGTGAAAATATTGTGCGTATCCGCCATAATTGAGGGACGGGCCGCCATTAGAAAACTTTTGGGGGGTAGGGGGGGGGCGAAGTACAAAAAAATATGTATTCGCGCAGGGGAAAATTAAATGAAAAGTATTCATGCACGCCAAGTAACGCTAAAAGATATTCACGCAAAGGCCTAAAAAGTTCATGTAAGGGAAATTTCATGCGGCTCGAAAATTCCCCGCCCTCACCCCCACAACTTTTCTAATGGTTCGTCCTTAAAACTATAGATTTTGACGAGATAAGAGATTCAATTAATGACCCGCTGCAATGCATATCCAAAAGACCCGAACAGACCAAAAAGAGTAGAAATATTGCATCACCTGAAATCACAGCCCATATTTGCTGAAGCTTCCCAAACTGAATGACGCGAACCATTTGATTGTCCAAACAGAATTTCCTGTTTTTCCATGTAAATGTAAAGGAGTCAAGGTTTACTTTGGGGCTTTTTCGTTTGTTAGGAATAGTGTTTGTGGATGATTGGGATGCGCTCTGGATCTATAACTGAATTAACTAAAGTTTTTGGCTGCAAGGGATAAAGTTTCGAAACTTTGTCTGCACATGAGGAGGACACAACTTGAATGATCTGTGGTCTAAGACAAATAAAAAAACAAGAGGAGAGGCAGTGATAAAGTTTTGTGATCAACAAGGACATTTCAAGTGAATAATATTAACAATAAAGGACGACAATCGATAGCCTCGTTTAGACTTTCCTTGTTTCATGAGCTTTGACGCAGACCTACTCCTATTCCCTGCCCAATCAGAAAAGCGTCACGTCGTCATTAGCGTCCACTCTGTGATGGTGTGCGTTTAGTAACCCCCGGTAAACCGAGTGAGCCAAATGACTGTGTTATCTTAGCTTCAAATGTTCCACTAATTAATCCAACCAGTTAGTTATTATAATTTCTAAATGATATTTTTTTACTACAGTCGTACCGTTGTTAAGGATGCAATTTACAATCATCAATCCAAGAAAACGAAGACATGTGTTAAACGACACTTCAGTGAACATCACAATACATGACGTGAGAAAAGAAATCATGAGACAGTTTGAACAACTTATGCCCCTCAAGTACTGCAAGTCAAGTGAAAAGGTTTGTCCTGCAGGATCCCCCGGACTCCCTGGTACCACTGGGTCGAAGGGACCGCGTGGCAGGAGGGGACCAAAGGGAAAGAAGGGCTCTCAAGGTCCCATTGGACCACCTGGAAAATCCGGAAAAACAGGAATGACGGGTCCTGCGGGACCGAGAGGAGTAAAAGGAGCCCAGGGAGAGCCTGGGCCAAAAGGCATGCCGGGGCCACCTGGAAGGCCTGGTAAAACGATATCTGCACCACAAGTAATGTTGTCACCGGCAGAACAGACAAGGGATGAAGGAGGGAATACGACTTTTTATTGTACAGTTGGAGGAAATCCTCCCCCTGTCGTTGAATGGCGGTGCAAGGGTAGAAAGCTTGTGTCAGGTGCGAAGTATTTGATTAAAAAAGGAGAGTTGATCGTTAGAAACCTGAACTACAGCAACGCTGGACAGTACACTTGTGTCGCTCGAAATATTCTTGGATATTCTGAGGGCATTGGCAACTTGTCTGTTCGAGGTAAGAGGTGCATTAAGTTTGTTAATATTAATATTATGCTACTTGATTTTGTTTAATTTACACTCTACGCTTCATGGATTGAGAAGCATCATCGTTTAATCTTGCAATTTTGTCTTGTCCCTCTCTTTAATTCCATTAATTTATATTCCTTATTTTTCATGGACCACTCTGAATTGTGCGTCCTACACCCGAGACTTTTCTTGCTTGCTTGCGCGAAAAATAAGAACTGTTCTTAAAGGGTAAGACACGAGATGATGATGATTATGATGATGATGACGACGACGATGATGATGATATTGATGATAGTGATGATGATGATGATGATGATGATGATGATGATGATACACTTAGGTTTTGTGTTTAGAAACACCGGGCAAGAGTTCGAATCAAGAATGTTGACTAAAGTATAGGTTTCACTTCAAATCATCATCAGACAACTAGCTTCGATGTCAGAACTATATAACTATCTACTGAAGAGACCTAATGTGAAAGAGTCTGTAAAAACTCAGGACTCAAAGCTAGCCGTGGACTTTTCTTATTCAAATGAGGGCCTCTTTTGCTGAAAATCGCACGTTCCTTCTGTTGTTACATATTATGGTTCAAGGTCTCAAGGTTTGTTTATAGTGGAAAGTGCATTTAGCTTATCCAGCTAGTTTACATAGACACACCATTCGACAAATAATTAGAAACAAGTAATCAACAGTAACAATTAAGATTAAAAACCCCATCTAGCGCCGGCGGGATTCAATCTGGGTTGGCCTTCTACAGGCGTTCCCAGGAATTTGAACTTGAGACGCGACCAGAGAACTAATCCAGCAAGGTTACAAATGACATTCGAACCATACCCCCCCGAGACCCCACCCCCCCTCCCTCCCCGAGTCCGACGTAGTGATCACCCGACTAGGCTGCCAATAGATCGTTTTCACTGTCACGCAACGAAAAAATAAATTGGAAACCGTCCAGTGGAAGAGGCCAAGAAAATGAAATGTTATAAAAGACTAATATATAAACAATTTTTCCAAGTCTCAGGTCTTTGTGGCCCACACTTTCTGAGTTATTTGCCGAAACGTTTTGTATGGATACGCCATATTGGTGTACCGTTTTGGTGCACCAATATGGCCGCCGGAAATCAACAAAAACACTCGGAGTTCACTTTTTCTATAAAAGCTCTTTCTTTTCACTCGAGAACTAGCAAACGTGCGCATAAACATATCTTTTAATACTTGAAATGGTTGTACTGTTGAAAATCAAGAGGAGAGGCCTTTTTTTTACGAGACAGCATTCCTATTTTCATGATTTTTGTGTCACGCACTATGGAAACTCAGTCGAAAGTTCAAATTGCTCTGTTTTCGAAATGAAACATGCTACAGGAACGGAAACTTGTACAAAGATTTACTTTTTGTTTATCTTCAACCTATTGTAAATAAGAATTCGTACAACCTTGCTAATGCCTTTACAATTTGATGACGTCACTGTGAAAACCATCTATTATCATTTGCATAAATGTATCGCCTGAGATACTGAGCGGGTAATAGTTTTTTCTTAGTAACTAAAAGCGTTAGGAAGAGTCTCTCGAGCATCTGTTTTCTTACCGAATTTTCTCAAAACGTTTAGCTTTCAGTAACAGATACCCAAATCTTAATATAAGACCTTCCTTGCTGTTACTTAAAACCAAGTCAAAGAGCACGTACCAGTTATAATTATTTCTAACCAAACGGAAATAACTCTCTTAAAAATAATGAAAACAAGTGGAAATCATTGCTGGCTGCCTTTTCTTTTTCAATAAATTAGTTTTTGAAACTGTAAATAGGTATTATAGTACACATCCTGAGCATACATATATATGGATTCCCTGTTTCGTAATGAAGTTTGTTAGAATGTTTTTAAGCGTTTTTATTAAGCTCATTAGCTCTAGCTAGCTCTGGGTGTGGAGACTGGGTAAGTAATGAGTGACAAGATTTCAAGGAAAGAAAGAGAATTTTATTGCCTTTTTCTTTCTATAAATTACAATTTCCTTTTCAGGTCTTCCCATCTTCACAACAGTTCCACCTTCACTTGTCTCACCGGCACAAGGTACTAAATTTCAAGCAAAATGTCAAGCTGAAGGATATCCTCGCCCCGTAATAACCTGGATTCGATCGGTACTGTTGCCTTTACCTGCTGGCAGAACTGAGGTAAATCAAGGTACACTCACCATTAAGAACTTAAGTCCTGCTGACAGTGGTTTGTACGACTGCGTAGCAACTAACATTATGGGTACAAAGAAGACAAGGATCAACGTGGTAGTGCAACGTCGTTCAGGTTTGTATTAACCGATTCTCATTAGAGGCTAATTGTTTATGCGGTCTGTTACCGGTTTAGAGTTGATTTTCAGTGATGAGGTAGAACTATCTGTCTGCCAGGATTTGCTAAAACGTACCTCCAGCTATTTTTCCCAACAGTTTCATTTGAGGCTTGTTTACTATTTTTCTTTGTTAGGACACTTTCAGTACACAAATCCTCTAACAAACTACAGTAGACATAAAATCTTGTGTTTAGAATGCTGTTTATCACATCTTTCTTCACCCCCCTCCTCTTCGGCCCTTCCCTCCCCAACAACGACCACCACTGCCTGCGATCATTTTCCATAACTCTGTCCGTGCGATGGAAAAAAATTTATTTGAAATCAACGCGCGCGATATAAGTTGTTTTCCGCGGTCGGTTAATGCTCTAGATTTCTTTTCGGCCTGGGGTAAAGTTTTCCAGAAGGCATCATTAAGCCTTATGATGGAATGAGTATCATCACGATTGGCAAAGTCTGCCGCCATCCAAAGTAATTAAGGACGTCAACCAGAAGTGGACTTTTTGCATCATTAGGCAGTGGTTTGGTTAAAACTCTCGGGTAATTGTCTTTAAAAGAAAAAAGAAAGTCGGCAATGAAAATGTCAAGTGTTAGCGTCAAGGCGTATAAAACTTTGGGAGAAGACCTCACTGAGTCCGGTTGACGTGTGTCGCTCAAAAACGTCTTTGCTTAAACTCCCTACAAAAGATAATTATAGTCAGTCATGCAAATAAAGTTATTGTTGGTGTTGTTGTTGTTGTTGTCGTTGCTGTGGCTACACGGGTAAAACACTAACCTCGGGCTCGAAACTTGAAGGTATTACATGTATATTGCGAGCTCTATTGCTTTAGGCGGTGACGAGTCCCCGGCCTCAAAAAGTATGTTGTAGGGGTCAAATCTATTCGGCGAGAGCAAAACTAATGCTGATTTCTGACAGGGCTTGAGACTTGAGTTAAAAATTGTTTGGAAGAGGGACACTCTTGCAGCTCTATGTCGTTAGTCTACATCCGAGATCTTAAATAAATCGACTGATTCGCTATCAGGAAAGTTTATTAATGTGGCGATTTATGCAGAGAAAGCGAGAGTTATCGAGAGAGGGCAATTTGATGATGGCTTTACGTTGAAGTCGTGAAAAACAACGGCCAAGAAATGTACAAAAAGTGTGCTGCAAGTGCAAAGTTGTTGTCGTTGTTGTTTTTTTTTTTTTTGCTCATTAGATTTGCCGTTCTCGTTGCCGTCGCCATTTAACATTACATTATTTAATGTTTTTGTTTGAGTGAGCTCTATGTATATTATCGAAACTTTGCTTTCAGCCCTTATTTAATTGACACGAGGTTTACATACTAAACATTTAGTTCAGTTATGCCCGTTCCGGGATTTTATGTAGATCATCTTATCCAGAGCTATCCATTTACCATTACAAGTTAGGACAGTGCGAGTCATGCGAAAAAATATATTTATGTAAAAACAAACGAAAAAGCAGTAATACGGAAAAAAAAAACAACTGAAAGCTGTACTAACCGTTGTAAGTGAGTGTTTAACCTTAAACAGCGCTTAACCCTTCGACGACTGCTGTCGTTTTCGTTCCATATTGAACGATGCATATCTTCCTTTCTGGACCCATTTAGCTTTCCGTTTAGGTTAATAAATTGGTAAGCAACAACGTCAGCAAAGATAGATCTCTTCTGCAATACCTCGTTTTGGATATTCTGACCAACCCTGACAGAGTTACACTTGCAAAAACAGGTGACAAGGCCAATTTCGTCGTTTACTCACTACTCTTTGAAAATTAAATTTGTCGCTTTCCTAACAAGTTAGCCAGCCACAATTCCGTGCAAAAGAAAGATGATAAAGTAGGCAACAATAAAGGCGGAAAAGAAGGGAAAAAAGAGAGCGAGAGAGAAAGACCAAGATAGATTGGTAAAGAGAGTCCAAATTTTGGCTTTGCGCATGCGTGGAATACAGAAAAAGCGGTTTAATTTCTCCAGATTAGTCGAAAAATATGCCTTTTTCTTGCAAAACTCGTTTTTCGCAATTCCTATGCTAATTAGCCAAAAACCAGTCCAAAGAAGAGGAACTGGTGAAAAATTCGGTTTTTTTATTGCTACTTGCCGGCCGTCATAAAAGGGTTAAACCAAATCTGTAACAAGTGAGCGCTTAACCCTGGGTCGGCGTCAGTAAAATGAGCGCTTTATAACCTTAATCAGTGAGGGTCGATCAAGACTGCGTAATTCTGCAAATATTCCAGCAGCAAAACCTGACATACCCAAAAGAAACTATATAAGTAGAAAATGTTTTGCAATTTGATAAAACCATGTTTTTCCATGGCTCGCTTGCTCGCAGATTGTACGGCTCCCAACACTAACGACCTTGGTTTAAAATCGAATAAGAGTGTTCTTGACGCGGTAACATTCGAAAATAGCAACTTTCTGCAAAGGCTTTATTGAATTTAAACCGCAGGTTGATCAACTCGAGTCCCATTCACCACTCTTTTTTCCATATTTTAAGGAAGTCGAGATTATGATTATTAATCTTTTTTTCTAAGGTTTTGAAGACTCCGTCGTTGTGGGAAACAGCAGAAACCACTTGACTTCGTTAAGCAACTGGCTAGCACCTGTGGCTAAAGGCGTTTATTCTCTCTGGAAGCGCTGTTGGCATGCATCTGTGGACGGTTGGGCTGGAAGTACTTTCCACTCACGATGTGATGGCAAGGGACCGACTGTAACAATAATAAGGGTTGGAAAATATGTTTTTGGAGGATACACCAGTATTTCATGGGGTAAAATATTGTTGTTGAGATAGGCTGATCCAGGCGTTCAGATAGTAGAGCGCGGTGTTCGGATGGTGGGAAGCGAGTTACGCAAAGGAAACGAGGGAGAAAAACCAGGAAGAGAATCATCAAAACTATCCAGCCTTTGGATACCCAGATTGAAAGTATGTTTTCTCACTTTTCTTAGATCTTGTTGTGGCCTCACTCCGCCCGTTATCCTCTCGTATATCATCACCATTTCCTGAATTTAAAGACGATTCTTATCATTAGTAAGCTTCATTTGAAACTAAAAAGTACTTATACGGCCATAAATGTTATAATCTTTTAGCTGGGAATTCCAGACTGCAAATACAGCGTGCTAAATCAGGCCAGTTGTGATGAACGCATTATTTTAAAAAGGTTTTTAGGAAGCCTTTAGATACAATTTCTGTACCAAACGTTTGTACTTTTAAGGCCTGTTAAAGGGCCATAATTAGTTTTACTATAATGTGCCCTTCTACATTCTAAATTTTTTTGCTAATATTATATATGTACACGTAGTTTAAACAACCTTCTGCTAATTTATTGTAGAACTGAAGTATTATCTATAGAACGGAGTAAAAAAATACAAATAAAATACAAATACTTTTAAGGCAATGGAGCCTGCTACATCAACTATTTGTACTTTGATAAGAAAAACTGAATTAAAAAGTTCATGAGTCAGTTCGAACGAAAACTTCAAACTTGGTGGCAATTTAGTGTGTAAACAGCATCTGAGTGAGTTTACCATTATTTTAATTCTACGTCAGTCGGTTAATTTGTTCAGTTAAAATATAATGAATATAAATATTTTCTGGAATGAAAAGTTTTTTTTGTAGATCAATTAATTGAACTTCTTTCCGACTGATTCTTTCTGACAGATTTGCTCTAAAAACCGTCGTTTGATTAGTGCTCTTTGTTTGTTTGTTTATTTGTTTTTGTTTTTCGCGCATTTTTTGTTAATTTGGTTTTAAAATGTTTGCACTTGTCCTACAAATACAAATGGAACAAGTCTGACTCAAATTCGTTTCAAATTAGAAAACTTGTTTCCAGGTTTGTCTTTGGTGTCAATACACTTGACGAGTGGTTTAATTTCTAAAGTGAGGATCAGAACAAACGGCGCTAATTACACTTGGTTCCATCTTTAATTTCTCTCCTATAGATTCCAGCAGTAGGTACCAGTACGACTCCAAAGCATTTTTGTTTTCACTGGTGAACAAACCAGGATGGGCACCTGTTAAACTGCCTCAGACAGGGAAATTTAGTTCAGAGGGACGTTCAATGTACTGTGGCTCATCGTTTGGACCTATATTCGGAGGAGGAAATGACATTCACATTTCCAACTACGCCTCATCCAACAGCAATTCTCAGGGCGACCTTGGCTATACTTACAGCCCACCGAGCGGGTACAGCTACGGCAGCACCTTCGCCCGAACATTCCTGGCAGGAACTAACTTTTTCTTCACACCAGACGAAGTAGAAACTTTCTACGAAACAAACTAGGAATAATTATTAATAATGGGTCACATGCACTTTGATATTAGTATTCCATTAGTCTCAAACATTAAGTTAATGGTCGCTAAAACGAAATCATGACATACTGTCCTGTATGTGCTAAACGAGGACAAAAGATGAAACACCCCATAAGGCACGTGTAGAAACACATTTTTCGAACGTTTTATTTTCTATTTGAATCTTTATTTATTTTGTGTTCACTATTTTACCATGTGCTTAGGACAAAGGTCTCTTGAGCAAACAAACATGACGTCGGGTTGTTGGGTAGAGCTATAGTCGCATTGAGGACCACTTCAAACGAAGGATGACAAAAATGTCAGAGCGAGATGCGGCAGAAGTGCCGATTCAACCTCAAGTCATAGAATTAAAGGAGTTGAAGTTTAAGTGTCTACACATATTGTTCCGTCCTTTTAACCTGTTTATACTACTGCATGAGAAATTTCTGCAATTTGATTGGCTTAGAGCAGTGGTATTACAGCTTAATTTGAAATAACTACATGTGAAAATTACAAACCTTTTGAGGGCAGTAGTATAAACAAATAATAGCATGATTTACAAGTACGTGATATTTGGCATAAATACCACTTGTGATATTTCAAAATTGTCTCAAAGTTCACTCGCCTAACGGCTCGTGAAATTACGTATAACAGTTTCGAAATATCACTCGTGGTATTTATGCCAAATATCACGTACAAATCATGCTATTACCTATACTAATCATTTTAAGTTTCAAATATTTTATCATTTTACCTTTCAAGTGTTTATATTGGGGAATGTTTTCACTAAGGGGATAATATTTATTCAGTCTATGATAAGAGATAAAATTTGGGGGAAAAATTCAAAAAAAAATTTAAAAGTATAAAACACAAAAAACACGTAAACTTAGTATCGTAATGATAGGAATAATAATAATAACAATGATAATAATAGGTTTTGGGTTGTGACAAAACAGGAGTCAAAAGGAGCCGCCTCTTACCGAACAGGGGTTGAATGAAAACAACTAATGTGTGTTGAGGTTAGGCAAACAACTTGGACTTCTGTATAATCAATGTTTTCGATTTATCTTGTTTTAAGAATAGGGTGTTTACATACTAAGTTCAATCAGAGTAAAGGACTGGAAGGAGAAGTAGGCGCTGGGTCCCAGATTAAGGAACTAAAACAAACACTATTGTTCCAAACGTTTTGCCAGAAATTAACACAGTCGAGTTGAGTTTCTCAATCTTGCTTCCGGTCCTCAACTCGCTAATATGGATTCTATTCATTTCGGTGTTGGACATTTTAACTTTATTCAGAGGTATATAGTATATACATGAATTTGTTTTTAGGTCGGTTCAGAAATCAAAAGTTCCACCATATCTCAAATATTTTTTGTTAAGGGACAAAGGATGGTGTTTACAAGCTGTCATCAGAACAGCTGGACACACTTTAGTTTTTACTAGCAAACCTTTGCTGGTCACTTAAGTCCTTTGCTAAAAGATTTTTGCACCGACCTGTTTGGTGTTGGGATCAATCAAAAATGGAAGTTGGACGAACGGTAATTGCAGAAAACATCACAAGTGTAGTTTCAGTCTTTCACAACTAAAGGTTTAACTGAGGTTATATTAAGAAACACCTCTTCAAGCTTACTCAAGAAACACGGAAACAAGTTCAAAAAAGATAGAAATAAGTAGATGTATTCAGCTGTGGGATAGGAAAACAAGCGTTTTCTGTTAACGAAGTTCGTTTACTTAAACCTGGAGTTGGTTCTCACTTTCGCTTCCAAACTTGAATCATAATCAGATTTCCTATCTCATTAAAATCTAACCTAAGGCCACGCGTCCTAACACCTTTCGAGTTCTTTGTTCTCTGTTGAACAAGTTTTAGCCAAACTTCACTTACTTTTCTGATCTCAAACTGCAATTTCTTTCGACACAATCTTAGGAAAATTTAGTTTCTTTCAAACTATCGTTTTGGTTCCCTGTAGAGGAATTTGGGTATAGAGATATTTCTAGTTTTGCAAATTTCTTCCACGCGTAGTGGGAATCAATTCAATTTCAGTTCCTTTTGTTCTCTAAACTCTGACACTTACTAACACTTTTTCCTTGCATATGAATGCCATGTAAAACTGTCAAAAATCAATTAACTTAATAGTTCAATATAGATAGAACCTCTTGTAACTAGTTTCACAGTTACGCCTTGAGATCTGAGATCCCTGAGCTAAGAGGAGTTTGTAACCTCAACGGAAAGATTAAAACCATCGTCAACTTCCAAACTCTGGTTGTGTCACCTCTCTTCAAGCAATCCTAAAGTCTGTAGAAGTCCCCCTCTACACACGTATATAGTTCAATTCACCGGTAAAAAGTCTTATCTTGATCCAGGTTTTCCCTTTATAATTGAAATACGAAATATAGATTTAGACCCTGTTTACATGGAGTGGGGTAAGTTTCTTTTGTTTTGTGTCCCCCAGAGCGTGAAAACAAAAGAAACCAACCCCACTAGACCGGGGTCCCCCACTCCATGTAAACAGGCCCTTAGTGATATAATGACGTCTCTGACTAACTTTTGACATAACTACCATGTAACACCTTCCTCAAATAAGCGCCGCACCCTCTCAACAATAGTGCGAAGCGCATTCATTGGTATTGTTAGACATTTTTAAGGCTGAAATTTATCATTGTTGTTATCATTCATTGATTTATTTCTCATAGGGGGAAAAGATGTCAAAGCTACTCAAGCTAACTTTTTTCAAAGTTTTTTTTTTGTTGTTTCATAATTTTAATGTCATTTTCATCTCTTGTTTAACTACACAAGGAAAGGGAGGCTGCAAACTAATAAAGACACGATGCATTTTTGTCTCCGAAGTGTACTAAAGGTCACATGTTGATTTTCGCCCACACTGATATTAATGATTTTCTAAGTTTCAAAGCATCCAGTATCAAGGCGTTTTGTTTATAAGTTCGTATACTCTCATTTTTCTTCAAAGTCTCCTCTAGAGACGCTAAGGAAACCAGAGATTAATGGCCCCAATTTTACAAGCTGATAATAACAAACATCTTTTTGGATAGTTGTATTTAAGAGGCAAAATAACAAATAGAGCTCAGGCAAGAGCTGAATCAAATGTCTTCGTGCCGGACCTCTTAGATCAATCAATCAGTCGATCGATCAATCAAACTGTTTAATGGAAAATGCATCGTCTATGATCTTGAGGCAAGAAGCATGTTGGAATGATACGACCTACAGGAAACACATGCAAACAAATCTTGATATATATGACGAGATTCATGTTCCAAATTATTAGTGTTGTCTCGTCAATTCAAGTAGAGGCCGTTTCTCCAACTCCTTTTTTTATTTTTTACGACAAATGACTTTGGTTTCTCCGTCACTTTTATGAAGACTGTTTCGTCGCTAAAGAACGTTTTCTTGAAAAGTGAACCTGGAGCTGAATTTTAGCCGTTATCTAATATTCTCATGCATCATGGAAGGGGAAAATAGCCTGTATAACAGTCAATTTCAAATGAATCCCAAATTTCGCTAGCAAACAACATTCTTGTTCCAGCTAGACCCCTTAAAATTTCCATCACGTGAGGCGGGGAATAAAACGTTAGTGAGTAATATTACTGCACCTTGATGATTCGAGCTGCCTTGTGGTTGAAAATAGGTGTTTTGCAATACTGAAGAAACAAAGTTAAAATTCTCTGTCGTAACCTTGAAAAATAAAATAAGCGCGTGTAAGGTAGCTTTATGAATAGCCTGCAAGCAAGCTCTTCATTTGGGGGAGTCGCGCTTCACTCGCCATAAATGGAGAGCTTGCTAGCAGGCTCCTCTCGGGAGGACAATTGACAACAGTGCAGGGCTTGTTAGCCTCGTCTCCAGTAGCTGATGATCACCTTTTTTGGGGGTTATTCGGGTTAATTCATTCCCATCATAACCCTCACGCGCTTTTTGCTTGTCTCCAGCTCTCGCCCTTCTCGCTTGAGATTATTATTTCTAGGTTACGGTGTTTATCAACAGTGTGAATGGCATGTGAATTTGGAATTTTCTTGAATTGCATCTACAGGGAAATTAATTTACTAGTACCTATAAGGGGCCATTTCGAAAATGCAGCAAAGTACCCTATCTTCGCTGGCAATTATTTCATAAGTCCAGACCTAGGCCTGATGCTCTGATTTTCTATTTAAATCATCTAACGAGATGCTATAAAGTATAGAAATACAAAAATACTTTGCGCTTTTGATCTTCCTTTAACGCAAACACTTTGAACTTTTGGTGTTTTTGAATACACCACCGCCGTTAATTATGTAAATTAGCATGATCAATTGATTCCACGAAAAAAAAAATATTGTCGCCTTGTTTTTTCCTTATTTGTTGGAAATATTGCCAGGAAAAACAGAAATTTAGTTGTTGCATAAAGGAACAGTGTTTACTAGAAGCTTTGGCTGGCAAGTACCTTGTTCTTACTTTGCCCTAGATAGCTGAATCAGGCCTCTGCTAACGACAGTTGCACAGCTTAGGGGGAGGCGCAGACAGTTACTCGGTGTCCTGGGTGGGGAAGGTGGAATTCTTGGTACCAAGGACATATGTAGGCACTCACTAAAGCAATGTTTACATAAATTCAGTCAGATATATATCTAGCCGAGTTTTTTGAAAACCAACCTAACGAAATCTGCAGTCGTTTGAGTGAAATTAAGGCAGGTATCTTGGGCCCGATAAGCTCAAAATCACAGTAACGAAGGGAAGGGAAAGGAGAAAAAGAAAGAGCGAGAAGGAAGAAAGGAGAAGGAGAGAAAAAAGCAATGGCTGCACTCATGGTTTTTATAAAGGCTACTTTGGCCAAAAAAATTAAACTGTCGGACGCAAAAAGGTCTATTTGGCGGTAAAGCTTTGAAAAATCCAGTTCAAATTGATCCACGATTGATGCCATTAAAGAATAGACCTTTTCAAGGTTAACACCGCCATTTTGCCGGGGGTGCAAAACTACTGGGGCGAGCGCGCGGCCGAGCATGAAATGCAAATGGCGACACGGCTGAATAATCTGTTAACATGCCCAAACACGCTCGTTGTGCGGTAGGTTTTTGCGATAATGATAAAAGATATCCTGACCTTGCTTTTGTCAGATCACATGTGGAGAATTTAGTATATCACAAGTGGCCAACCGACCCTAAACTTGCCGAAATATGGCGAAAACAAGTGGCGAAGACTCGAAGTGATCCCTTCAATCCTTCCCCTGGTGCTAGTGGGACTTTCGTGTGTTCAAATCATTTCCCATGTGGACGAAGAACTCCTGAAAACCCTAAAACGGATTTTCCGTCTATTTTTATGACTGTTTCGGATTACCTGCAGAAAAAATCACCCAAGAAAAGGAAAGCGAACAAGTTACAAGAAGCTGGTTCTGCAAGAAGCCTGTTCCCTAGCTCCAAGGAGTCAAAGCAGGATCCTGAGGAGAGTGATAGTGATGATGAAGAAATGGAAGCAGATGCAGATTACTCCGTTTCAGTTCCAATGCAATTCGAACAGTTGACAAGAGAAATGGAAGTAAAAGTCTACACAGGTCTGCCATCACCGAAAGCATTCGAGTCCTTGTTCGATTATTTGAGCCCAAAGGCTCGGTTTATGCAATATTGGAGGGGTGGAAAACAAACAAGAAAAGAATCGTCTCAACCTCCCTCTCCTTTTGAGTTAGCAACTGGCTATCTCAAAGGAAGACCTGGACCAGAGAGGAAGCTTCGACTTGAACAGGAGTTTTTACTGACTCTTATGAAACTAAGACTAGCTCTTCTAACTTTTGATTTGGGGTTCAGGTTCCATGTGTCAGCTTCCACTGTCAGTAGTGTTTTTATAACTTGGGTTAAGCTCATGTCCAAGGAACTCTCCGTTTTAATTGTGTGGCCTAGTCGACAACAGATCAAGAAAACCCTCCCATACTGTTTTAAAAAGCTTTATCCCAAAGTAAGATGTGTAATTGACTGTTTTGAGTGCTTCACAGAAACTCCAAGTGGACTTGACCTGGCAGCAACACTATGGAGTGAGTACAAGCACCACTACACTTTCAAAGTCCTTGTTGCCATCACCCCAAATGGAGCAATTTCATATGTTTCACCATGTTATGGAGGCAGGGCATCTGATATTTTTATTGTAAGGAATAGTGGGTTTTTAAAAATGATTGAGCCTTACGATGAAGTCATGGCAGACAGAGGTTTTAAAATCCGAGAGGACTTGATGATGCACATGGCAACATTATGCATTCCACCTAGTTGTGCATCATCTATGCAAATGCTACCACGTGATGTCAGAGAGACATCAAACATTGCGAATGTCAGAATTTATGTTGAACAAGCTATTGGACGGCTCAAAGTTTTTCTTATTCTGAAAAATGAACTGCCTATTACCCTGCTTCCCCTGGCTGATGATATTATTCGTGTCTGCTGTGCATTGTGCAATTTGCTTCCACCACTCTGTGTTTGATATTTTTATTTACAAATATGCCAAGGTGACCACATATTCAGTTTAGAGACTGGGGCAGGTTCATTTGAGAACTGTTAACATGTCAATGAAATGTGAAACTACTACTACACTGTACATAGATGACATCATTGTGTATTTCAAGGCATAAGAGCAATACCTTGCATTTTCTATTTCAGATTGAACAGTCCCCACAAAAGCTATCTAATGAACTTGGCTTTCTTTGAATGGAGGTCCTTCCATGAGTGAATGAAATGTTACTTTTTGTACAAAACAATTTGTTTAAATTATCATGAAATACCGGTATATTTCCAAATCAAGTTGTATTTACATAATGTTAAATTGATTAAGGAATTGAAATTTGCTATTATAAATGTGCGTAATTAACCGTAGCAACAGGAATGTTCATACAACATTTTCATAACATTTCATAAAAAATGCATCAACAAAACAATACTAAACAATAAGTGGCTATAAAAAATATATAGAAAGGTGTAAATAACTCTGACTTTTCTCCATGTCTAACTTAGTAGAAATGAAAATGCATCCAACATTCTTAAATAGTTTCTACATGTAGAAAAATATTACATGATGCAATTAAAACATTTTGTAGGTTATACATGTACTTCTTGGACTGGTGTATTAAAGTTCTTAACACCTTGTGAATCTATGATTTTGTCGATTTGATGTTTGGGATTAGTTACAGCTGTATGTGACCATGTGGTGAAACTTCTCCTTGTGAACAGTAATTAAAATTCAATGTACAGTACATGTATTAATCTGAAATGCAGTAATTACAAATTAGGTCTGCAGAACTTGTTATGTCCTCATGGTTACTGCACCAAGCATGGACAGCTTTTTTACAGACTGTGCAAACATGTTCTCCATTCACAGGGATACTCTTAAGACAACAAACTGGGCAGACATGATTTACAGTGTTTGAGTTATCAGTTTGTTCTTCTTCCTCAGGTAAGTTCAAGTCAAGTTCATCATCCCCAGCATCATGTATGTTTGCTGCATCAGCCAGGCAGCTCTGGCAAATCCAAGAGTCGAGTGCATCTGCAGAATTCACACTGAGTTCAGCACATGGCAAATGCCACCAAGTGCTGCAGCGGTCACAGCATACACTGTTTTCGTTTGCAGAATCACTTATTTCATCACTCTCCAAAATAACCTTGTCACACTTGGGGCACTCAAAAATGTCCCTGTATCCTAACAGGCAAGGTAACACAAAAGATTTGTAAAAGAGAGTGATATTGTTCACAACTTTCAGACAAAATTCCAAGTCAAGTTCTACTCGTTCATACAATGGTTGGCCGCCCAGAGTCCAAACAATAAAGAAGCCATGATTGGCACCACAAACCCACATCTGAGCTTGCATTTGGGTGTAATATTTGTGCGAGCGTTTCAAGCGGGGCTTTCCATTAAAATCTTCAAGAAATTCCACACGGTCAAATGTCTTTTTTTCATGAATATTTTCATTTCTCACACTGTAGGGACATTTTGCTTCCAGTGTTGCCAGACCACAACAATGGCAAAAAAACAGGCCGTCCGGGGAACCCGCAAGGAAGGGGTAATCGGGTTTGATGAACAATCCACACTGTCTAAAGCCCTGTAGGCCACCATCATGTTGAGAGGCCACATCTGACATGAATGATTTTATGGCATCCTTTTCATGGGCATTCCCCCACTTTATCTGTGGCATATGTGAGACATCATCACTTTTATTCAACAGGCTTGACACCATTGAACTGTAAATGGGTTTTTTGTCATTGTCACTTTTTCTGTTGATGATTGTTTGAGCCTTGGTGTGAAATTTGTGAAAATTTGACGCAGTCACTCTCCCAACTCTTTGTTGATGCCAAGAGTCATTGTTACTCTGGCCACGAGTTTCAGTTTCCACCCTTTTCACTTGGTCACTCGTCATCTGACATTTTTTAAAAAGAGTGGAGCGGTATGTTCCAATGGTTTTCCTTTCATTTCTTGGGATGACATGAAGCTAAGGGCTCTCTGAGGAAGAGGTTCGGGTAGGCCGTCATCTTTAGTGTGCTCGATAGAGTGAAGTAAACAAGCAGATGGGACATTCTCAATTACTCCATTGATAAGAGCTGACACCCTTTCATTGGTCAGCTGCCTATCCTGGGGCTTTCGTGGGTCAAAGTTGTTCTTTAAAGTTAAATTGGCTGCCTGTTCTTTGGGACTGTCCTCCCGAGTCTTTTTGTCTTTACGAAAGACAAGGTTTTTTATTTGAGTTGGAGCTACATCCTTTCTAGTTCCTTTGTTCCATCCTTGTGGAACGCTTGTACATGCAGGAGATATGTAAGCTTTCTTGTGTGCAAAATTTACTTTATATAGCAAAGCTATAACATGATTGCAAACTTCACCAGTACCTGCTGTACATGTACACCAAGAGGTTAAGATTTTGCATTCACTTTTTGTGCCCTCTAAACAAACCCAGACCTTATGCGGGTCATCACGAATTTTTTGAGAAGGGGATACAGAGCCTTTCAAGAACACATGCTTGCTGTTAATTGGGCATTTAGCAAAGAACACTGTGTCTACAAAGCCACTCATCCAATAAGAATAGGCCTTCTGATCCTTGTATTTTCCAATATAGTCGACATCTACGGCTTTAGTCCTCAAAACATAACTGAACAATTTGCCATCATCGACCTCTGGCCATTCCTTTACGTCGTCAATCCAAGCGTCACTCGGTAACATGTTTGGATCACTCCTAATTTCATTTTTAGTCAGCCTCCTTGAATATTCGTCTTTTATCTGCTGATAAATTTGCTCCTGGGAAAACTTCACGGGCACATTGAGTTCGTAGGCTCCAAACGCTCTAGCGATCAGCTCAGACTTTCTGCCCGTTTGCTTGAGTCCCCGTAGCGAAAGAAAATCCTTTAACGAGGAAACAGTCCAACCGAGGAAGTCGTCGTATTCAAGAACTTCCTCTGCTTGTCGAGGCATCACAAATAATTTTGTGGCCGCTCTACCGGAGTGGTAGCGGCAGAAATAGAAAAGGATTTCAAACTAACAGTTTCAGTACACGTGTTTTGATCCTAGATTAAGATATTTCGATATTTCTTCGCAGGTAATTGCAACTCGATGAGTCAGCCATTTGCATTTTATTGTTTGGCCGCGCGCTCGCCCCAGTAGTTTTGCACCCCCGGCAAAATGGCGGTGTTAACCTTGTAAAGGTCTATTCGAGCGAGTGGCATAGAGAAACGGTTTTCCTTGATCCATAGTTCTAGGACGCCATTCTATTCCTAAAATTAGTTGGGAATGATTTTGGGGTCGACACGAAGAGAAATGGGGATCATTTCGGGGTCGGGAGCTGTACATGTTATTTTTGAATCATAAACGGCTATCGCGTTACACGAAAAGGTCAACAGCTTTACATCCACCACAATGCAAAAGAACAATATTCCTGTTTTTCATGGACAAATTTTAAAGGATCAAGTATTATTGAACTTTCTCGCTTTCAATGTTTCAATTGCCCTGCCGTAAGAGTGACAGCTTAAATTTCTCGCGGGCAAAAGCTACCGCAAAAAAGTCTTAACAAGAAGATGCAGATATATTTCAGAAGGGATCACTATACCTCTGGTAAGATCATTGCTATTGTATTAAGTCATTCGGTTAATGTTATGGATGTCGTTTAGACGAAGAGGTTGTTCTCTCTTGGTTTAGACAATTCTTTACGGCGGAGTTTTACGCCTTGAACGCTAACATGCATGTATACGGGATCTTTAATAAATGCTACACATAAATGGGGCCACTGTCTTGTGTCTAGAGTGAAGCGAGCTAAATTTTACTGGTTGTTTATTACACTACATTGTGATTCATCACTTTGAATTACTGTTTTGGTTTCCATACAATAAGGCCGTTAAATGATATACTAGGTGAAAAGCAAAGAAAACTATATCTGGTATATTGAAACTTTGAAATTCAAACTTTTGGTCAAGCATAAAACATGATTTCCTCGTGCATTCTCGCGCGTCTTAATTAATTACCCCTTTTCCTTCCTTTTGAAAGGCCTGAAACGCGTGCGCAGGTTTAATAGGCATGCAGGAAGTGACGCTTACTTTGAAGTTCTTTGGGTCCTTATTATAATTTAGCGACACAGGAACATTGAACAATGTAAACATCAGGTCACGCCATGCATGCTGCATAAAACAACAAAAGCAACAATCTTATATCCAACTATCTCTTACGCAGATGCACTTTAGAGCTGCACGCACGTTGACTTTGTTTAAAAGCTGTTTATAATGAGCTTAACGGATTCCCCTCTTTATTCAATATCAGGCGTATATAAATGGGTATTCCATAGCCTAAAAGAGACAGAAGTAAACAACCCCTAAATACATTAATTCCATCTTAAAGAAAACCTCAGAAGGAAGTCGGACGTGGTTTGTGTGTGAATAATACTGGTCAGGAATGTACTGTCCGCTGCTGGCCCGAAAGAAAAGTAAAACGGTTAAATCATTTAAAATGAAATTGTATTCCTTTTTACTGAAATTACGAGCTAGGCAAAAGCGATTGTAAGGTTTGAATATCTTTTAATGGAGGAACCACTGTTCAAAAATATACTAAATCATTCATTCATTCACTCATCCATCCTTCCATCTTCATTCATTAATTCATTCATCCATCCATCCATTCGTTCGTTCGTTCGTTCGTTCGTCCATCCATCCATCCATCCATCCATCCATCCATTGATTAGTTCGTTCGTTCGTTCACTCATTCATTCATTTACTTACTCGTTGATCAGTCCAGAATCTTGACTTGACCGCTTTTATCTGATTAACCCGACACTGAGCATTCCACGCTAATGTCTGAAATGTCACACACAATCATATCGGAGCATAGGATGTCCACTATTATTAGAAAGATATGGATAACAAAACATTCGTGAACAAACTCGAAAACCATATCCTGTGCAAAGCAAGTCTTCTGCTCTGTTATAATTGCTTATTGTCCGAAAGTAACTAAGAAAAGAAATACACAATTTTTTTCATAAAATAAAATAGCAGTTGAATACATAAACTTCCGTTAACGCTGACGATTAAAGAGCAAACAGAAATTTCCGGGAAAAATGATCACGTGCACATTTATTTCAAATGCATATACCTGCCTTTGGAAGAAGACATGACGGGTACTTTCAAAAATATCGACTTCACTGCTGAAGCCTTGAGCACGTTTTGATGCAACGCGAGAAGGTAAGAATGAGGAAGGTCAACAGCAATAGCAGCTACACGTCAGCTGTATAATATAACATTAATGTCTTTTTGGGCCAAATTCAAAGGATCATTTTATTATGGCAACCTCCCCTCAAAAGTCCCTCTTCTGGTAGCTGTAGAAAACGATTGTTCATATCGAGTTGAAGAAAATGAAACCTTTGAACTCATCAAAATCTCATCGACTCTTTGATTTCGTTCCATCGGTGAAGCCATCGGTTGTTTCCGTTATATTAGTTTTTGTCTGCGGGGTTCTCTGGGTGAAGAATGAAACAACAAACGATCGACTCATCGCGCTAGAATCTCGCCTTCACTGTTTTTCCTGCGTTAAGAGCATCTCGACTGAAAATATTGACAAGATGACTCCTTCGCCAACAAAAGAGAGCGCAAAATATCATCACAAGAATATGCGGACAGCTATTCCAGAAGGGATCGGCCATACGTACTCAGGTGAGGTATAGTTTATCTTGTCCTACGGGTAACGTTCAGACATAAATTTTAAGTTTTGTCTTTTCTTCCTTCCGGACAAACCTCTCGGTGAAGTTTCTTCCGGTTCATTATTGTTTTCTTTTTTTGGTAATGCACGTTATATAAAAACGCCTAGTATATAAAATACTCTGTATAAATAACTCTGCATTGCTTTTTGACCAGTTTGTTATTACAGTCAACTCTTTGGCTGAGATGGACACCTTTGGGACCATGCATTGGCACCCAACGAACTCTTTTCTGTGAAATATCTGTTCGGAGAAGCAAAAATTGCCTAGAATTTTCTATACCTTGAGGAAGGCTAAGAATTTCTAGGTGATTGTTTCATTCATGTACACTTTTCGAAGCTTATGCATTAAATTCCCTACGATTTTCTGAAGTTTAATTTTTCGCATTTCACTCTCCAGATTAAGCTATTTTTTACAGGAAAAGAAAACCTAAATTTCCGGATTCGAAAATGCGATGGAAAGAGGAATAGGAAAAATTCTCACTTTCCTAAAACTTTAAATTGCATCTAAAAATTTCGTGAAAATAATACTGAAGCCCTAGCAGTTTTGAAAAGACTCAAGTTGGGCTAAGATGACCGAACAGATATATATTTCCTAGCGCCGACTAGAACGTATTTCTAAAGATCTAAAAGTACTTTAGATAGCCTAAAATGTGTTTTGAATGCATTTAGGAGGAAGCCGTCGTTGGGTGCCCCAGTGGGACCGACCACTAAGCGTCCGGCTGAGAGAGATGTCAGCCTTATATTAAGTCAAATAAAGAGAATAAAAAAAAGGCAGAGACCAACTCTAAGTGGCTGCTATACAGAGGTATCCTTCAAGAGAGAGCCGACTGTATGATCAGAAGACCTCTGATCTTATGCAAGTAAACGATAACTACTGAACTTTTTAGTGGTAAGAAAATTCCTTTTCATCCCCCTTTCAAACGCCTGGCATGCATTGCACAGTTTACATTGATGAATAAGGGGTGCTCACCATTTACATAGATTAAACAAGTGAAAATATTGTGCATATTCATAATTGAGGGACGGGGCACTAGAAAACTTATGGGGGGTGGGGGGGGGGCGAAGTACAAAAAAAAAATTAATTCGCGCGGGGAAAATTGAATGAAAAATATTCATGCACGCCAAGTAACGCTAAAAAATATTCACGCAAAGGCCTAAAAAATTCATATAAGGGAAATTTCATGCGGCTCGAAAATTCCCCGCCCTCACCCCCTCAACTTTTCTAATGATCCGTCCTTAAAACTATAGATTTTGACGAGGTGGGAGATTCAATTAATGACCCGCTGCAATGCATATCAAAACCACCCGAACAGACCAAAAAGAGTAGAAATCATCACCTTAAATCACAGCCCATATTTGCTGACGCTTCCCAAACTGAATGACGCGAACCATTTGATTGTCCAAACAGAATTTCCTGTTTTTCCATGTAAATGTAAAGGAGTCAAGGTTTACTTTGGGGCTTTTTCGTTTGTTAGGAATAGTGTTTGTGGATAACTGGGATGCGCTCTGTATCTATAACTGAATTAACTAAAGATTTTGGCTGCAAGGGATCAAGTTTCGAAACTTTGTCTGCACATCATGGAGAAGGACACAACTTTAATGATCTGTGGTCTAAGACAGATAAAAATCAAGAGGAGAGGCAGTGATAAAGTTTTGTGATCAACAAGGACATTTCAAGTGAATAATATTAACAATAAAGGACGACAATCGATAGCCTCGTTTAGACTTTCCTTGTTTCATGAGCTTTGACGCTGACCGACTCCTATTCCCTGCCCAATCAGAAAAGCGTCATGTCGTCATTAGCGTCCACTCTGTGATGGTGTGCGTTTAGTAATCCTCGGTAAACCGAATGAACCGAATGACTGTGTTATCTTAGCTTGAGATGTTCCACTAATTAATCCAACTAGTTAGTTATTATAATTTCTAAATGATATTTTTTTTACGACAGTCGTACCGTTGTCAAAGATGCAATTTACAATCATCCCTCCAAGAAAACGAAGACACGTTTTAAACGACACTTCAGTTAGTATCACAATACATGACGTGAGAAGAGAAATCATGAGACAGTTTGAACAACTTATGCCACTCAAGTACTGTAAGTCAAGTGAAAAGGTCTGTCCCGCAGGACCCCCCGGACTCCCTGGTACCACTGGATCGAAGGGACCACGTGGCAGGAGGGGACAAAAGGGAAAGGAGGGCTCTCAAGGTCCCATGGGACCACCTGGAAAATCCGGAAAAACAGGAATGACGGGTCCTGCAGGACCGAAAGGGGAAAAAGGAGACAAGGGAGAACCTGGGTCAAAAGGCATGCCGGGACCACCTGGAAGGCCTGGAAAATCAATATCTGCACCACAAGTAATGTTGTCACCGGTAGAACAGACAAGGGATGAAGGAGGGAAAACGACTTTTTATTGCACAGTTGGAGGAAATCCTCGTCCTGCCGTCGAATGGCAATTCAAAAGCAGAAAGCTTCTGTCAGGTGCAAAGTATTTAATTAAAGAGGGAGAGTTGATCGTTAACAATTTGAACTACAGCGATGCTGGGCAATACATATGTCATGCCAAAAACATTCTTGGATCATCTGAGGCCACTGGTAACTTGTCTGTTAGAGGTAAGAGGAAAACTGAAACTATAATCCGAAGGTTTAACACCCAGCTGCTTAATAGTAATGATCTTTGAAGACTGTAAATTAAAGGGCGGGGATTGAATCACACTCATGATTGAGATTTTACTGGTCACCTTATTTCTTGTTACTTTCATTATTTTTGTTTTTTTCTTTTTGCTTATGTTTGTTTGAAGGCTCTTTTTACCTTTTTTGTCGCGCTGTCAACTTGTACAAACAATATGCGGCTGAAATTAATACTTATAAATATTTACAAATATGACGACTTAAAATTAGCATCATCTTGTAGAATTGTTGCTCCGTCGTCCAAAGGCTCACAACGATTGTTCCCTATTCGTTGTTATACGTAGTTACCTTGTTTATCTTCTGTCAGGTCTTCCAATCTTCTCAAAAGTTCCACCATCGCTCGCTACGCCAGTACAGCGCACTACCTATCAAGTAGTTTGTCAAGCTGAAGGTTTTCCTCGTCCAGTTATCAGCTGGAATAGACTGGGGATACCTTTGCCAGCTGGAAGGACTGAGGTAACTCAAGGTAACGGGACACTAATAATTAAGAAATTGATTCCTGCTGACAGCGGTTTGTACGAGTGCACTGCAAGGAACACAATGGGGACAAAGAGGGCTAGAATCAACGTGGCAGTTCAACAACAAAAGCTAGGTATGCTCTTTTGTTTAAGCAAAGAGTCGTTCTGGTAAACACAGTACCTCGGGAGTACCCTTAGATGTTCGTTTTTATGTATGAGCTTATAAGCCAGACTTTCTCACTTTGAGCTAATTATTACAGATAACCCTGAAGTAACATATTTTTCTCCCTCATCTTATTTCTGAACTCAACAAACAAATGAAATCATTTCCAGCCAAGTTTTGAAAAGAAAATCATCCCTTTGGCTAGGGCAGTCACCTCCTTGACGCGTCTCTAGAACGGACAGTTAATTAGGGACGGTGCCTAAAACGATTGAAAGAGAGAGAGAGAGTTGACTGAATGTATATTTAGTACAGTATTTTCTCGTTATACTTAAATTTACAATCTCAAAGTTATACAATCTTTAATTAAATTGTTTATTTTAATAACCCACATATAATCACTAATCTGTTAAGAATGGTAGAATGAATCAATGAACGAACGAACGAACGAAAGATTGAATCAATCAATCAATCAATCACCGAACGAAATGGAGGAAAAACTTTATTCATGTGTCAAACGATCTAGCGTAAGGAAATCCATACGATAATTGGGGACACCTACTAGTTATCTTTACCACATAAACTTGTCTATGGCTGTTAGTATAACCTGCTTGATCTTGGTTGGCTTAACTGGTTCTTGTATTTTTGGCTACTAAAGTGGCAAATGTTTGCCAGGGGCTTCTTGATTAACAGGTTCTTATTCGCAGGTGTTTACTGTATTAGAAATGTATGGAATGTGGGCCTGCCTGTCATATCTCTTGGTGTAATAAGGTCAAAATTTTACTACCTCAGTCTTTTTTTTTTATACCGTTGAAAAGTCAACATAATTGATATTGACGTCTGAGCCATCAGTTGTCATCTCGCCATTTTTAATGCTTGTTGATATTTGTTCAGATTTAGAAGACTCCGTTATCGTGGGAAACAGCATAAATTACTTGAGGACTTTAAGAAACTGGCTGTCTCCAGTGGCCCGAAGCGTAAATTCTGCCTGGAAGCGCTGTTGGCATGCATCTGTGGACGGCTGGGCTGCAAGTACATTTCACTCACGATGTGATGGCAAGGGACCGACGGTAACAATAATAAGAGTTGGAAAATATATTTTCGGAGGATACACCAGTGTTTCATGGGGTAAGATATTGTTGTTGAGATAGGCTGATCCAGGCGTTCAGATAGTAGAGCGCGGTCTTCGGATGGTGGGAGGCGAGTTACGCAAAGGAAATGAGGACGAGCATCATCAAAACTATCCAGCCTTTGGATGCACAGATTGAATGGATGGTTTTTCACTTTTCTTAGATCTTGATCTAGCCTAACTCCGCCCCTTATCCTCTCGTATCATCACTACTTCCTGAATTTAAAGACGATTCTTATCATTAGTAAGCTTCATTTGAAACTAAAAAGTACTTATACGGCCATAAATATTATAATCATTTAGCTGGGGATTCCAGGCTGCAAATACAGCGTGCTAAATCATAGTCCAGTCAAATTGTGGTTTAGCATTAAAGTAATTGCAACAGATTTTTTTTCAACGCCATTAAATTGTTGGATGGCTATTTAACAACATACTAAAAATCCGCCAAAATCAGTTCGGTGAAAGATGTGAAAAAATTGGCAATAAAGATTTTCAACTTTCACCACAGGACACCCGATTTCAGGAAGATCACAAATTCAAGTCTGATAACAACCTCGTTCCCAGGGTTATCTCCTACCCTGGGAACGAGGTTGGTCTGATAATTGTGTTCTTTTTTCTCAAGAATTTTCGATGGAACATCGCTAATGTTTTTTGGGTAGTTTTGTTTTAAAAACCGCCGACAAAATGTGTGAGAAACACGTGGGTCAGTGTTTCGTCTTGAGGGCTTTGCACAGGTTACCCAGCCACTCGTGTGTCTCACATTCTGTTTTCCAAGCATTAATTGTTTTTTCTATGACGGTATTTACAATGGAAACTATTAGTCAGTCTTTGTTAACATGGTTTTTGCGCAATATCACTGAAATGCAGTAAGTATGAGCAGTTTTACATCAGGCTTGTAATTTTTTTATATCCTGCAGCATGGATACAAATTCAGAGTAGCTGACTGATGGTGAACAATTTGATTTGATATTTTGTTCACCTTTAGTCAGCTACTTAATTTGAATCCATGCTGCAAGATACGTGTGACTAAATGTTTGCAACGGACGATAGATTTGTATCAGATCAAACTGTTTATCCTATTCCCATTTTGCTCAAAAATCTTGGACAATATGCATGTGTGATCGAAATCAGGGATTCTTTTTATTTCTCGCGACATAAGCAACCTTTATGATTACGACTCTGTACTTTACAATGTGAGTGAATAAATATTCTGCTAAGGACTCCGTCTATTTGGTTTTTTCTTGATCGTAACGGTCTGCGCTTTTCATTAGACATGGCAGAATCTGTAGTAAGGGAAATCCAGAAACCCAAGCGCAGTACGATTGTTCTTTTATTTTTAATCTTCTTCTTGTAGCGAGTCTCAGATCTCAGTTTAGTTTAGTGTATCTCTGTCAGTTTGTATTTTCTGCGTCAGTCCTTCATTTCTTGGTAAGGTGAATAAGTAGATTAATCGCTCTGTGGTCTAAAGGCGTTTATATTCCCTCCTTGCATTTCTTTTCTGAGAACAACCATGAACCTTGACCAGCTTTTTCTCGTCCATTGGCAAATGAAGACCTGTCGTAAATGCTAACGCAGAAACTTCACGATTTCACAGTTTCAAGGGTTTATTCCAAATAGGAAAAGTTCACTGCCAAAGGTACACACGAAATCTAAGCCCAACTAACTAAAAAAATTAAGATAACATGCTTAAAAACAAGGTATTGAAATTGATCCCTTAATGATATACATTCCGATCACTATCACGATAATTAAGTGTCCATCTTAATTGTCACGCAATGTTATAATCTCACACAGACCTCTTTTTCTTAACGATCATGGGATCCTATACTTCTGAAAATAATTGCAGTGGTCAATGAAGGCCCAAAAGTACTGGACACATGTACAACATTAATGGGCTTGCCTGACTTAGCTTCTTATGGCTCCCCTTTTTTTGCGGAACCTATGTTTCTCTTCGGATGTGCGTTGTGTAACACTTCAACTTACTGCATGTTAACCTTATGACTGAGTTGCGTAAATTATGCTCTGCGCGGGGAATTTCCATTACTCCATAGACTCTTACAATATATTTTTACATACGCATTGTTTTGGCTACCCAGAGTTTGTCTTTCTCTTAAAAAGCAGATTCCCCATTATACTATTTCGTTTTCTTGAAGCAAACGTTTGCTGGAACCAAAGTTCTTATGCGATGAATGTTCCGTTAACCTTTATAATTTTTTTGCGAAGGTAACAACACTTTTCCTTAAATGAAAACGCACTTCCCTTTTATCAAATTCATAGGCATTGGAGCTTAACCTGCTCAAAAACTCTGCTTTGTTGTGCATCGTAAAGGATTAGTTAAACTATTCTCCCCTCCTCTCCATTCACTTTTAACAAGAAGAAAACGAAAAGCTTCAAAAAAGTGAAACTGGTATATCGTAAAAGCCTGCAAAGCATTATCTTGCTAGATTTTTGAGAACGTACCGAACAAACTATAATCGTCGTTTTTATCCCCAAAAGCTAGGTGGCAGTTATTCTTTCTTCTTTCACTTTCCATAAAAGTAAGAAACACATTTTGCGCATTTTTTGTTTGAACGTTTAATTTCAACTAACGTGGGTTCCATGTGCTAAGAGCTCAAAATGTTTAACGCTTAATTTTGACATGTTCCACCGAACGGATTTTGGCGGATTTTTAGTATGTTGCTAGATAGGCCACCCTTACTTAAAAGGCGTTGAAAACAATTCTGTTGCAATTAGTTTGATGTTGAGCCTCAAAAATGCCTAGACTGACTGGACTATCAGGCCAATTGTGATGAACGGATTGTTTTAAAAAAAGTTTTGGGAAGCCTTTAGATACAATTTCTGTACCAAACGTTTGTACTTTTAAGGCCTGTTAAAGGGCGATAATTAGTTTTACTATAATGTGCCCTTCTACATTCTAAATTGTCTTGCTAACATTATATAATTATGTACACGTAGTTTAAACAACCTCCTGCTAATTTATTGTACAAATAAAGTATTATCTATAGAATGGAGTAAAAAAAAGACGAATAAAATACAAACACTTTTAAGGCGATGGAGCCTGCTACACTATTTGTACTTTGATAAGAAAAACTGCATTAAAAAGTTCATGAGTCAGTTCAAACGAGAACTTCAAACCTGGTGGCAATTTAGTGTGTAAACTGCGTTTGAGTGAATTTACCATTTATTTTAATTGTACATCCGTCGGTTAATTTGTTCAGTTAAAATATGATGAATATAACTATTTTCTGGAATAAAGAGTGTTTTTTTGTAGATCAATTAATTGAACTTCTTTCCGACAGATTTTTGCTCAAACAACCGTCGTTTGATTAGTGCTTTTTGTTGGTTGTTTGCGGTTTGTTTTTTGCGCATTTTTTGTTTGTTTGTTTGTTTTTTTGTTAATTTGGTTTTAAAATGTTTGTACTTGTCCTACAAACACAAATGGAACATGTCAGACTCAAACTCGTTTCAAATTAGAAAGCTTGTTTCCAGGTTTGTCTTCAGAGTCAATGCACTTGACGGGTGATTTAATTTCTAAAGTGAGTATCAGAACAAACGGCGCTAATTACATTTGGTTCCATCGTTAATTTCTCTCTGATAGATTCCAGCAATAGGTACCAGTACGACTCCAAAGCATTTTTGTTTTCACTGGTGAACAAACCAGGATGGGCACCTGTTAAACTGCCTCAGACAGGGAAATATAGTTCATGGAGATCACAGTCAATATACTGTGGCTCAAGGTCGGGACCTACATTTGGAAATGGATTTGACATTTACATTTCCAACTACGCGTCATCCAATAGCAATTCTTACAGCGACCTTGGCTGGACTTATAGCCCACCGAGCGGGTACAGCTACGGCAGCACATTCGCCAAAACATTCCTGGCAGGAACGTACAAGTTCACACCAGACGAAGTAGAAACTTTTTACGAAACAAACTAGAAATAATAATTAATAATGGGTCACATGCACTTTGATATTAGTATTCCATTAGTCTTAAACATTAAGTTAATAGTCGCTAAAACGAATTCATGACATACTGTCCTGTATGTACTAAACGAGGAAAAAAGATGAAACACCCCATAAGGCACGTGTAGACACACATTTTTCGAACATTTTATTTTCTATTTGAATCTTCATTTATTTTGTGTTCACTATTTTACCATGTGCTTAGGACAAAGGTCTCTTGAGCAAACAAACATGACGTCGCGTTGTTGGGTAGAGCTATAGTCGCATTGAGGACCACTTCAAACGAAGGATGACAAAAATGTCAGAGCGAGATGCGGCAGAAGTGCCGATTCAACCTCAAGTCATAGAATTAAAGGAGTTGAAGTTTAAGTGTCTACACATATTGTTCCGTCTTTTTAACCTGTTTATACTACTGCATGAGAAATTTCTGCAATTTGATTGGCTTAGAGCAGTGGTATTACAGCTTAATTTGAAATAACTACATGTGAAAATTACAAACCTTTTGAGGGCAGTAGTATAAACAAATAATAGCATGATTTACAAGTACGTGATATTTGGCATAAATACCACTTGTGATATTTCAAAATTGTCTCAAAGTTCACTCGCCTAACGGCTCGTGAAATTACGTATAACAGTTTCGAAATATCACTCGTGGTATTTATGCCAAATATCACGTACAAATCATGCTATTACCTATACTAATCATTTTAAGTTTCAAATATTTTATCATTTTACCTTTCAAGTGTTTATATTGGGGAATGTTTTCACTAAGGGGATAATATTTATTCAGTCTATGATAAGAGATAAAATTTGGGGGAAAAATTCAAAAAAAAATTTAAAAGTATAAAACACAAAAAACACGTAAACTTAGTATCGTAATGATAGGAATAATAATAATAACAATGATAATAATTGGTTTTGGGTTGTGACAAAACAGGAGTCAAAAGGAGCCGCCTCTTACCGAACAGGGGTTGAATGAAAACAACTAATGTGTGTTGAGGTTAGGCAAATAACTTGGACTTCTGGATGATCAATGTTTTCGATTTATCTTGTTTTAGGAATAGGGTGTTTACATACTAAGTTCAATCAGACTAAAGGACCGGAAGGAGAAGTAGGCGCTGGGTCCCAGATTAAGGAACTAAAACAAACACTATTGTTCCAAACGTTTTGCCAGAAATTAACACAAGTTGAGTCTCTCAATCTTGCTTCCGGTCCTCAACTCGCTAATATGGATTCTATTCATTTCGGTGTTGGACATTTTGACTTTATTCAGGGGTATATATCATATAAATAAATTTGTTTTTAGGTCGATTCAGAAATCAAAAGTTCCACCATATCTCAAATATTTTTTGTTACGGGACAAAGGATGGTGTTTACAAGTTCTCAGAACAGCTGGACACACTTTAGTTTTTACTAGCAAACCTTTGCTGGTCAGTTAAGTCCTTTGCTAAAAGATTTTTGCACCGACCTCTTTGGTGTTGGGATCAATCAAAAATGGAAGTTGGACGCACGGTAATTGCAGGAAACATCATACGTGTAGTTTCAGTCTTTCACAACTAAGGGTTTAACTGAGGTTAAGAAACACCTCTTCAAGCTTACTCAAGAAACACGAAAACAAGTTCAAAAGATAGAAATAGGTAGATGTATTCAGCTGTGGTACTTAAACCTGGAGTTGGTTCTCACTTTCGCTTCCAAACTTGAATAACAATCAGATCCCCTATCTCATTAAAATCTAACCTAAGGCCGCGCGTCCTAACACCTTTCGAGTTCTTTGTTCTCTGTTGAACCAGTTTTATCCAAATTTCACTTACTTTTCCGATCTCAAACTACAATTTCTTTCGACACAATCTTAGGAAAATTTAGTTTCTTTAAAACTATGGTTTTGGTTCCCTGTAGAGGAATTTGGGTATAGAGATATTTCTAGTTTTGCAAATTTCTTCCACGCGTAGTGGGAATCAACTCAATTTCAGTTCCTTTTGTTCTCTAAACTCTGACACTTACTAACACTTTTTCCTTGCATATGAATGCCATGTAAAACTGTCAAAAATCAATTAACTTAATAGTTCAATATAAATAGAACCTCTTGTAACTAGTTTCACAGTTACGCCTTGAGATCTGAGATAGCTAAGAGGAGTTTGTAACCTCAACGGAAAGATTAAAACCATCGTCAACTTCCAAACTCTCGTTGTGTCACCTCTCTTCAAGTAATCCTAAAGTCTGTAGAAGTCCCCCTCTACACACGTATATTTTAATCTCTTGCTAACTACACAGGGTGATGGGAGGCTGCAAACGAATATAGACAAGATACATTTTATGCCTTTATTAATTTTTGTCTCCGAAGTCTACTAAAGGTCACATGTTGATTTTCGCCCACACTAATATTAATGATTTTCTAAGTTTCAAAGCGTCCAGTATCAAGGCGTTTTGTTTATAAGTTCGTATACTCTCATTTTTCTTCAAAGTCTACTCTAGAGACGCTAAGGAAACCTGAGATTACTGGCCCCAATTTTACAAGCTGATAATAACAAACATCTTTTTGGAGTGTTGTATTTAAGAGGCAAAATAACAAATAGAGCTCGGGCTAGAGCTGAATCAAATGTCTTCGTGCCGGACCTCTCAGATCAATCAATCAGTCGATCAATCAATCAAACTGTTTAATGGAAAATGCATCGTCTATGACCTTGAGCCAAGAAGCATGTTGAAATAATACGACCTACAGGAAACACATGCAAACAAATCTTCATATATATGACGAGATTCATGCTCCAAATTATTAGTGTTGTCTCGTCAATTCAAGTAGAGGCCGTTTCTCTAACTCATTATTTTATTTTTTACGACAAATGACTTTGGTTTCTCCGTCACTTTTATGAAGACTGTTTCGTCGCTAAAGAACGTTTTCTTGAAAAGTGAACCTGGAGCTGAATTTTAGCCGTTATCTAATATTCTCCACCAAACGTTTTTGACATCAAATCCAGGCCCTACTTTGTACCGTAATTCAACCGTAAAAAAATTGAATTGTGTCGTGAAATGTTTAAGAAGAAAAGTATTTCAGGTATAGAAGGATCGAGTAGCATTCTGTTATTTAACGCTTGGAAAGATAGTAGATTAAACTGAATTTTTAAACTGATCAACTCCAAGAAGGTCAGGCAATAGAAGGTAGTGTGACGTCAGGTTACCATGGTTGCAAAATTTCTGGATCTCAACAATCTTTCTTGACAGAGGAGCTACCGTTTTATTCTTGAGAGCAATTATGCACCGTCATTTTTTTCATTTGTTTTCTGCCATATTTTCAGGTCCACGGTTTGTTAAGTACTAGAAATTTTGTTACCATGCCAACGTGGCGTAAGGACTTCCTTTTGTTAACAGTCTACAAAGCGCATAGCCGTTGTTGTTTTTATTTTACATGTCTTTCGTTTGACGGCGGTCAAGACATGGATACGTTAACTACGCAGATGGAAGAATGGGCTACTGTTTCAGTTTTATTCATTTATTTACAATAACGAACAAGAAAAAAAAAAGTTGTTCTAATACCGTTAAAGAAATAATACCTATATATGTACATCTTTAAAGAAAAGAAAAATCAAAATACGCATCAGAATGATTTGTCACTTGGTCACGAAGATTTTCCTTTTAATGCACCATGTTTAGAACCTACAGTTACGAAGGGCTAAACAATGACGAATTTATGAACTGTAGTTCAACAGGGAAGATTACGCCTTAAGTGCTGCTGTTCTCGCCCCGTTGTTAACAGCTAATCCTCGAGTTTGTCCAGACATTTTCTTCTTCATGTGCTCCGCCATGCCGGGTAGGCGTGAAAAGTAGTTACGAGCCAGTACGTGCTTGTGTAGAATCTTCCCGATAAACATCCGCCCGTATGCCTGATGGAAAGAAATACAAAGTTAGAGGGAGGATAATCGAAGGAAGTGAAGGGAATCACCTCCAACTTTGGGGATGGGGGTGGGGTTGGAAATGGAGGGCGTTTCCTTTACTCCCACCCCAAAAGAGCTTTCTTGTATGGGTAAAACCATTGCTTGCAATATTTGTTCTGTATTCCACGACTTTGTGAAGTAGCGGGGTAGTTATCTCAACATGCAGGGACTAAATATTAATTTTGACATCAATATGGTACCGGAAGAAGCACCAAACGAGAAAGCAAACATCGGCAAATAATCCTCATTTGCAAGGATCTTAATAGATTCTTATTTTCTGAAGAAAAAAAATACATTGTAGCTAAGAGTATAATTAGTGGTACTCAGCTTATTCCTTTTGATACAACTTGGATACAGTTACAATTATAGTTGGAGTAATTAAAAAAACACCTTTGTCTCCAAAGAGGATCCTAACTGTTAACTTATCTTATTTTCCCAAGTATACTGATTATTATTTTTTTATTATTATAGATTTTTAATAGAAACTAGGAACTTGTTTCAAATTTTGAGCTTCTCAGGTTCTGTATAGAGGGGGCCTAACTGGCAAATTTTAGCCTAACCGGTTTTTAAAAAAACAGGTTCTTTAAGTCGTGGGCTTTTATTATACTTCAAAAGAAGGTGCAAGATCGTTCGTGGATGATCGACCCTTAACAGCCTAAATTTATGCTAATTAACATTTATGTAAAAACCTGTTTAGACTAACGCGGGAAAATGCAAGTTCTTAGTCGCGGGTTTTTACTGTATTTGCTGCATTCGATTTGGCCCGATCCCCCCTTCCACATCCGACCAAGGGACGCTCTAAAGCATGAAATGTGGCTAAAAGTAATTTAAATGAGGTTAAACACAAGACAATGCTGGCCAGCGGTCTCCGTTCTAATCGTATGTGGGGCAGCCTTAAGGCTTTTTCAGGGTCCCAGCATTTTTACAGCGCTCCTTTGGTTGTCAAGTCATTTTGCATGCGTTGTCTTTGCTTGTGCTTGTGTCAAAGCCTTTTTGCTCCCAGCCCTCCCCTTCCTCTGGATGGATGTTGGTAAGTATCTAAAAAATTTCCACTGAGGTTCTCAGTGTTTCGGTGCCTGGCGAGTGCCGCTCACAGGGTTGTCTTGGTTACCTTCACGCTCGCTTGCGGCTCCCTCAGTTCCCCACACCCATCTATCGGCGATGGGTCTAAAACAATAAAGACAAACAAAGAAAAGGAGACGTACCTCAGTAACGTTTTCCAGTTTGGCGTGAGCAGATGCCTCCTCCTTTGTCAGTAAAATACAGTTCCACGGAGACCACTCTTCGTACTTATTCCACCGTACAAGAATCGAGTCAAACATGTCTTCGTGAGCGCTGAGCACGCTCTGGCTCTTTCAAATGTTTTCCACAAGATAGCGTAAATCAGGTTCCTGAAAAAAGAGGAACAGATTTAGTTAAGGATCTTTCAGTTTGCACATGACACACTATTATTGATGCCTATTCCGTCATGGTTAAGAATCCTCTACGTAAAAAGTTAGAGAAAAAGCTAGGGCCACCCAGATGAGTCAAGTTATGAAAGACAGCTATGAAAAACAGGATTAAAATTTTCTTAGAGCCTGATTACATGTAGCCTGCGAGCAAGCTCTCCTATTTGGGCAAGCGAAACGAGCCTCGCGAGAACGCGCGAGCGAGGGCGGGCCGAGGAAAGGGGAGCTTGCAACGATCTCTCATAAATTTTCATTTCCACCTCGGAAACCCCGGGACTCTGCAAGGCGTGAAAACAGTCACCGCAAACTTACCGCAGATTAGAAAAGTGACAACCGCCTGTCAAGTAAGTTTAGACAGCCGAAGGCGCGTAGACCTAGTAATAGTTGACACTACAGCTGCCCCCGTTCTGTATATTGTCGGTCAATAGTATTCTTGCTGGTTGTGTAGCTCTTTGAAATATGCCGATTTATAATGAAGATTTTTATTTTCACACATATTCCATACAACAGGTGAGATAAATACAGGAAACGCAAGGTTCCATGCACAGTTTCAGCTCGATTTACACAGCTTTGATCAAAACATTCTCAGTTTCGAGAATAGTTTATTCTAGACAATAAGAAAAGATTTAATTAGAAGTTGAATTTTTCGCTATTTCTCTTTCCCTTTTTACATTCAGTTCATTTTTGCCGGAAAGTAAGCCTTAGAAATTAAAAGGACGTCTGATCGATTCACGCCAGCGCATTCTAGTCTTATTTGAAACTTTATAACGGAAGGACATCCGTGAGCAGGGAATAAGTCATCACAGAATATGATTGTCGGCGAATTTCTGTAAATGTCCATCAATGTATTAGTCATAAGCTAGCCGTTGTTCGCTCGTCTTGCTTGTTTGGGGCAGAGTCTTATTCCGGTCAAAGAGAGAGAAAGAGTATCTGGCAAGGTTTCCAATATAAATCAGAGATTTGAGAACTCGTGTCTGGCAAACTCTCCAAGTGTTTATATATACACATTTAAACGTACCTTATAACCTCCCCTGCACTTAACGAGTGTCTTTTGATCCATAACTTTCAAAACAACTGCTCCACAGAATGTCACTGCGTAACGCAAAAGAGTATCGAAGTATGACTACACAATAAATGTCACAAAATCTACCTGAGCGGTCCCTTCGGGATTTTCTGTGTTTACGTCATCCTAACCATTTCGTATTTGACTTACTTGCGGGCGCAAACAATAGAAACGTCATCATTACCTACCGAGTCCTCGCGGCCCCAGTTCGAGCAAATCGAGATTTTTTCTAGTATACTGACTGTATATTTGAACTGTAAGTACTGTCCTTAAGATACGCGCTAGTTACTAGGGTGCCTCCTCGGCGAAATCCCTGCGGGGGCAATTATTCATTTATAAATCGCTTTCGCCACAGCATCATAGCAATGTTTAATCACTGATATGTTTTTTCTTTTCCACGGGGACATCGAACTTCAACGTGTCCGCTCGGATAAGAACTCACTACTTTGATTCTCGTTCCGTTTACTTTTGAAAAGTCGTGCATACTGCTTTTGAAAAGTCGTGCATACTGCAGTGTAGAAGACTACTCCCCATCGCAATCACCAACAAAAACATCATATATTTGTCCGTCTGGAACTCTGGGAACTGGCGAATAACGTTTTCCTGTACTTGGTTCTCTTGAGCTTTACTCCAGTTGCTTCCAACTCTTTCTCTCTTCCTTCTTTACGGTCAAGCTACACAGCTACACTGTCAAGTACATGTTTCTAAATTTTTCTACCCAGCAGAATTCAATCGGGCGAAGAAATCGATGTTGGAAGACAGCGCTTGAATCACTCTTCACTTTCACTCTCCCGGTTTTCAGAACTAAACAAGGCGCTTGGCACAAAGGTGTACAACTGATGAACGGTTTTCATTTTCCTTCCACTAGAACTACAAACTCGGTCCGACTTATCCTGGGCTCGCAATATTCTCTTTGCGAGAATTGCATCAAACGAGCCCGTCTGCTTTGGGGGCTGAAACAAGTTGTCGGTACCAATCTGATCCCCCTGAGAACCACCTTTGACACACAGACGAAGCGGGTGCCAGCTTGACCTGTTATCAGTCAACTTTGATTTCCGAAACGTCATTTTTCAGCCAATGGTCCCAATGGTATTTCCCTTTGTCTGAGCGAAGTACAAATGAAATTTGATGAGATCGTTGCAAGCTCTCCTTTCCTCTGTCCATCGCGGCTTCGCCGCTCGCTCGCGCGTTCTCGAGAGACTCGCTTCACTCGCCCAAATAGGAGAGCGTGCTCACTGGGTAAATTACATGATCAGAAATGGCCCCGTCGGCCAAGCCGGGTTGTTTTGTCTGGTGGCCACGTTGGCTTGGTCGGTCTCGTAATTACGAGTTATTTTGTTTTTTGTTGCGTTTAACCAAGGCGCAATTTATACTGTATTGTGATTTAGCACTGAAATTAAAACGATATCTGGTATTAATATTACAACCTTCTAAATTCCAATTTTTTGCCAAGCATAAAACATGATTCCCCACGCATTCTCTCGCGCCTTAATTACCTCTTCTCCTTCCCTTTGAAACGCATGCGCAGGTTTTATAGGCATAAGACGGAAATGACGCTTTTTAGTTTGAAGCTTTTTGGTTCCTTATTATTCAGCGGCACAGGAATATAAGAACAATGTAAACAGAAGATCATGCCATTCGTGTTGCACAAAACGACAAAAACAACAATCTTATCCAACTATCTCTTAAAAAAATATGCAGCAGTGCACAAGAGAGTGGCAAGCATTATACGCCAAGAGAATAACACGCACGTTGACTTTGTTTAAGAGCCGTTTAATGAGCATAACGGATTCCCCCTTATATTGAGGCGTATATAAATAGGTGTTCCATAGCTTATAAAGGACTGAAGGGAACAACTCCTAAATGCATTAGTTCCATCTTAAAGAAAAACACCGAAGGAGGCTGGACGTCTGAGTAAGAACAATAAGATGAAACTGGAATGAACTGTCTCCCGCTGGCCTAAAGAAAAGTAAAACGGTTAAATTGTTTAAAAAGAAATTGTATGCCTATTTACTGAAATTAATAGGTGGGAAAAGATATTGGAAAAGTTTGAATATCTGTACAAAAATAGACCATATCATTCATTCATTTATGCATTCATTCGTTCGTTCGTTCGTTTGTTCGTTGGGTCACTAATTCATTCACTTACTCATTCACTTATTTCAGTACTCACTCTTCGATCCAGAATCTTAAATTAACCGCTTTTATCTGGTTAACACGACCCCCTGGTCGATGAGCACCACACGTTAATGTATTATTAGAGAGATATAGATAACAGACATTGGTGGGCAAACTCGAAAACCATATACTGTCTGAATAGCTTATTATCTGAAAGCAACAAAGAAAAGAAATACACTTTTTGTTATAAAATAAAAATAAAACAATCGAATACATATTAAACTTGCGTTGACGCTGATTAATTCGCAGAGAATGATCACGTGCTTATTCCAAATGTATACCTGCCGTTGGGCGCAGACATGACGGATAATTTCTAAAATATCGATGTTATTATTGCTGAAGCCTTGATCACGTTTTGATGCAACGCGAGAAGGTAAGAATGAGGAAGGTCAACAGCAATGACAGTTACACGTCAGCTGTAAAGCACATAAAAGAACGGTTTATGTCTTTTTGGGTCAATTCTAAAGCATCATTTTATACTGGCAACCTAACCGTCCGTCTTCGGGTGTTTGTAGAAAACTATTGTTCATATAGAGTTGAAGAAATGAAATCTTTGAACTCCTCAAAATCTCATCGGCTCTTTGATTTCGTTCCATCGGTAAAGCCATCGGTTGTCTCTGTGATGTTAGTTTTCATTTGCGGGTGTCTCTGGTTGAAGAATGAAACAACAAACGAACGACTCATCGCACTAGAATCTCGCCTTCACTGTTTTTCCTGCGTCAAGAGTGTCTCGACTGAAAATCTTGACAAGATGACTCTTTCCCCGACAAAAGACAGCACAAAATATCATTACAAGAATATACGGACACCTATTTCAGAAGGGATCGGCCATACGAACTCAGGTGAGGTGGTTTACCTTGTCCTACGGCTAACATTCAGACATAAATTTAAAATTTTGTCTTTTCTTCCTTCCGGAGAAACTTCTCGGAGAGGTTTCCTCCGGTTTATTTTTTATTTTTTTGGTACTGCACGTTATATAAAAACGCCTATGGAAAATACTCTGTGTAAATAACTCTGCATTGCTTTTTGACCAGTTTGTAATTACAGTCAACTCTCTGGCTGAGATGGACACCTTTGGGACAATGCAGGGGCACTCAACTACAGTTTTCTGTGAAATATCTGTTCGGAGAAGCAAAAATTGCCTAGAATTTTCTATGCCTTGAGGAAGGCTAAGAATTTTTAGATGAACGTTCCTTTCATGTACAATTTTCGAGGGCTTATCCCTTAAATTCCCTAATAACGATTTTCTGAAGTTTAATTTTTCGCATTTCACTCTCCAGAATACGCTTTTTTTCTTCACAGAAAAAGGAAGCATAAAATTTTCGGATTCGAAAATGCGATGGAAAGAGGAATAGGAAAAATTCTTTCTTTTCGTAAAACTTTAAATTGCATCTAAAATGAATTCCTAACAATTTCGAAAAGACTCAAGTTGCCCTAAGATGACCGAACAGATATAAATTTTATAGCGCCGATTAGAATGTATTTCTAAAGATCTAAAAGTACTAAGATACTTTAGATAGCCTAAAAAGTATTTTGAATCCATTTAGGGGAAAACCGTCGTTGGGTGCCCCAGTGGGACCACCACTAGGTGTCCGGCTTCGAGAGATGTCCGCCTTATATAGAGTCAAATAAAGGGAATAAGAAAAGGCAGGGGCCCCACTCTAAGTGGCCGGTATACAGAGGTGTTCGTCAGTATAGAGGTGTCCGTCAGCATCGGAGGTGTCCGTCAAGAGAGAGCCGACTGTATGATCAGAAGACCTCGTATGCAAGTAAAAAGCAATACGGGAGTCACGCTGTAAACGATAATTATTACACAACTTGTTAGTAGTAAGAAAATTCCTTTTCATCTCCCTTTCAAACGCCTGGCACGTATTGCACAGTTTACATTGATGAATGAGAGGTGCTCACCATTTACACAGATTACCCAGGTGAAAATTTTGTGCATATTCATAATTAAGGGACGGGACTTTAGAAAACTGATTGGGGGAGGGCAAAGTACCCCCCAAAAAAATTCATACAAGGGAAATTTCATGCAGCTCGAAAATTCCTTGCCCCCACCCCCACAACTTTTCTAATGGTCAGTTCTTAAAACTATAGATTTTGACGAGGTGGGAGATTCCGTCCCGCTGAAATGTATATCCAAATCATCTGTAATCTGTACAGACTAAAAAGAGTACAAATATTGCATCACTTTATTAAATCAAAGCCCATATTTTCAGAAGATTCCCAATGGAATGGCGCGAACCATTTGATTGTCCAATGGGAGTATCCGTTTTTTTAATGGTTTTCATGGTTTACTTTGAGGATTTTTCGTTTGTTAGAAATAGTGTTTGTGGATGATTGGGATCAAAGGTCACTAATGCGCGCTGGATTCATAACTGAATTAACTAAAGATTGACTACAACGGATAATTAAGTTTCGGAAACTTTGTCTGCTCCATGAGGAGGAAATAACTCGAATGATCTGTCGTCTAAGAGAAATGAAAAAGTAGAGGAGAGGCAGCGATAACGTTTTTAATCCAGAAGGACATTTTAAGTGAAAGAAATAATATTAGTAATGAAGTAAGGGAATCGATAGCCTCGTTTAGACGTTCCTTGTTTCCTGAGCTTTGACAGGGAGGGAGAGGGCGTCTGCAAGGAAATCAGTCCTCATGCCAGTACGACGTCATGTCTCGCTTCGGTGACTTTTCAAAATGGTGAGCAAAGTCGTTGTTGATGAGGAGGATAAAATAATATAATTCCTTACGCTTATCTTGTTTCATTTTCTTAGATTTTGCTAGATTAAGATTCCTATTGAAATAGAAAACCAGTATATTGTACTTATTTTGGATGAAACCTTCAGAGATGTAATGATTTTTTAAGAGTTCTTTCGATCGTCGAGCATGAATGTCGAGCAGTCATATCTACCGGTCACACTTTCGAGGGCCAGTGCACAGCGTTGTTATGGTGTCTCGACTCAGCAATAGGAGGTTCATCCAAGGACATACCAGGCTTTGAGCACGTGTAATCTCAGGTCTTCATTGTTGATGGTTCATCATATCAATCCCTTCAAAGTTCGTTTAGCGGCAGGGCGGAAAAGAGGTGAGTGTTAATTTCTCTTTATTTCAAGGCAATTCCCTGTGGTAGTTTCGAAAACGAAGACCGAAGCACGTAGCACCCAAATCTCGAAAACGAAGGCCCTAAATCTCGGAAACAAAGCACCCAAAACTCTAAAACGAAGCACCCACAAACTCGAAAACGAAGGCCCCTAGATCGAAAACGAAGCACCCACAAACTTGAAAACGCGGTAAAGCGTCGCGTAAGAGTAATACGCGCGATACTCACACTCGGTCTTCAGTCTCGTTTCAGACTTTTTGTGTTACTGCTCACGCGTACTTGAATACGCCAAAATCTGCTGACGGACAGTTTTGAAGTCTACATAAGCATGTATGTGTACCGAAAAAATGCATATTAAGATAAGATGTATCAAATATAGCGAGACTAATAATAATATTAATACAGGATATCCTTTCTAGAAACGTTCAGTTAAACAGTTGGCAGGCTTTTATAAAACCTTGGGATAGATTTTGTGGACCTTTGGAGGTGCGGACGCATCCGCTGCCTCCACCTGATTCGGATTACGTGATGCAAGACGTAAAGTTGTAGTTATTAAACCTACAGGGGTTTCGAGTTTTGGGTGCTTCGTTTTCGATTAAGGGTGCTTCTTTTTCGAGATTTGGGTGCTTCGTGCTTCGGTCTTCGTTTTCGAGTGCTTCGTTTTCGAAACTACCATTTCCCTGTGTAGGGGATACTCCTGTAATTTTCTAACTCATTCCCGAAGGAAAACAGTTTTGTTAAATTATCATTTTTGTGTAAAGCACGTCTGGCTTTATGCAGCTTTGTGCATATTATTGTTACCAAAATTAACTAAGTGGGCTATTGAAAATGCCTTTTCACGAGCAGCTAGTATTGTCTTGTGTCTTGGAGTCAATTAAATTCATAATCATAACTATAACAAAATTGTCAAATCTGATTGGCTATCAACTGCCCTGATTTCAGCCTTAATTGGACAGTTTAATAGGACAGTACGCGTCATGCCTAAGTAATTGGACAGTACGCGGCATCACGCGCGCTTAAATGGCTTCTTTTTTTTCACTGCTAGCAAAATAAAATTTCGAATTTCTTTTGTTTTGATTTAAAAAATAGCCTATTATATCACAAATTTTGTTAAAGTTATGATTAATTGGTAACAGAACTTCGTGTCGTCCAATTCGGTCTGTAATCATACTCGTGATTAAACAAATCGGACTCCCGCTTCGCGGTCGTCCGATTTTGTTAATCACTCGTATGATTACAGACCGAATTGGACTCCGCTCAGTCCTGTTACCATTACTTATTAACGGAGGCATTTAAAGACACCCTGTTCAAGACGCATAGTAGTGAAATTGTTAACAGTGTTTTAAACTCATGACTTAGGACAATGCTAGGACATCAAAACCCATTCAGGACAATTCAGTGGCAAATTACCATTAAAGCAGAAATTGAGGGTTTTGCTTCAGATTGTCAAATTATAAGCTTACCCCAGGATTTTTGTTTGGGAGTTATGGATTTATGACTGAACTTGCTTGGCGTTGAGGACTGTTAGTCCTAAATGCTCTGGAAGTATGACTTCCTTGGACTGTAATATTATTGTAAGATCTGAATTGACATTTTTAAATGATCCATTGGGTGGCAACCATTGAGGAATCACACGGCAGGGTACAAAAGGGATTTTTTCTCTCAGTGCTATCCAGAGGTGTTGGTTCCCCTCAGTCAAATAAGCACAGCCAGTGTGCAGGTCACAGGAAATAATCAGAGGCTCTTGAAATCCCTTCTTCAAAATGAAACGCCTGACTTGCTCCAAGTGATTAAAATCATTTCCCAGCTTTGGTGTCAGTGATCTGTCAAATTCTCTGTACTCCCATAATTCTGTTGTTTTTACCATTTGATTAATCATATGTTTGGTCAAACAAATCAGACGTGTAGGATTTGGCACACATCCTTTGTTTTTCATTTTCAGTGGGCTCATCAAGTTTTTGGAAAAATAAATCTTCTGAACTGTCTAACAGGGCAATGTGTCCTTTTGTAACGCAGCAACCGTTTCCTTAAATGATTTAATTTCTGGTGGTTGCTCAAAGGATAGATCTTTAGTAGCTTCGTCTCTAACACTAATTTTCAGTTCTCTTGGTGGGTCGTGTGTTGGCTTACTCCTTTTTTTTATTTATTTTATTTTTTTAATGTTTTTTTTTGTAATTTTTGTAAAAATTTTTAATTTTTTTCTTTTTTTTTTTTTAATTTTTTAAATGAAGACTAGTGAGCAGCACAAAGCAGCTCGAGGATCTTGTTTACTTGATTTTATTTCTCCGACCGGTTTCATCTGATCACACAGACTTCATCAGGGAGTATAACAAGATAGAGCTAAGGAACTAACTTGAGCCTTCTTGTACTCATTCTGTATTTTTATAGATCTCAGAAAGAAGGGCTGACATGATATACATATGTAGCTTGCTTTAGATTTGTCAATTGAATCTTTAGCATGATAAAAGAAAATTGTGAAAATCAGTTTTATTTCCAGTTTGCTCATCTAGAAAGTTGCATTGTACTACAAACAAGTTGCTGAATACATTTATGTTGTGGTTATTGCAGGGGATGTCACTGGAAAGACAGACTTCATTTCTGCACTGTAAAGACTGCACAATGCATGGGCTGACCTTGAGAATGCCACGCTCGGCATCACTTCGAGATTTTGATGAACTTTTACCTTTTGACCCCTGGATGCCAAACTGGCATTGTGTTTATCACACACCCTTTGATTTTTAACACTTTCCATGTCCCCAATAAGGTCTGGAGGGCTACACTTAATTTCATATCTTCCAATAAGGCTGTCAAATTTGCGTGCACCTGCATCATTTTCACACCCCTAAGGTGAGATTTAGCACCTCCAGTTAAACGCCCATTCATAATTACAGCCCCTGATATCTCTTTTAATGACACAAAGTCATGCAAAGGTTTACCTCTGTTTGATAGCCAGTATAAATCACTGGTTATATTAGATCTGAAATTCATCTGTGATCTCAAGTCAAAGACAGTTGCATATGGTGCAAAGGAAAAAGAGTGTGATCTATAACTAGAATTGAGGTAAAGAACCTTTTTGACTTGAACACCATGCTGAATAAAAAGCCAGGGTGGTGAAATTTTACCATTTTTAGACAAGAATAGCTTAATAACATACCAAGGAAAAGGTACAAAGCAGGGCACAATAGGGGAAGGTCTGTAAGATGAATGGAACTAGCATCAAAGCTCTCACCAAATGTTATTGCAGTTACCAAATACAGAACTGCCAGAAATCGATAGGGTAGAGTACATATGGCCAGAAGGAGAACAGTGGCTGCTAAGTAAAAGGGAACTGAATTTCCCACTGCCAGAGATTGAGTTGTTGTAATGTTAAACAAGATGCTATAATACAGTAAAAGGCATGTAACCATAACAGTAGAAAGAAAATCCTTTGATGCTAGACTCCAAAAATATTGCACAAGGGAGTATTTGTATGTTGACTTGAACTGTAAACAGGTCTTGTGAAGAGGTTCAAGCAGATGTAAAAACAATTTTATAATAAAAACGGAAGGAAAGGAAATAATCTGCAGCAAAAAAATTTAGTGTTTGGCTGTACTTAACTTTGCAATTTGCCTTGAACAACTGTTGCAAATGACTTTCCAGTTCATTAGGACGATGGTTGTAACTACAACACAAACCAGAGTTAAATTTGGATAGAGTATATTGGATAGGAGGATGAGATGGAAATGCCTTGTTTTAAACTGTTGAAAACACGAGCATAATAACAGTAACATTGCCCACTGAAGCACACCCAAATTTGAATCAATTTTAGTGACAAAAACTTGCCCCACTCCATTAGCATGCCATTTTTTAATTGGAGTTTGGCAGAAACTTGAAGGGATATAAAGTCTGTAAGGAAGCCTTGCAAAGTTAAGAAATGCTTCTGAAATAGATACAGGATATTACATGGCCGCGCGGAGATACGAAATTTCTCTTCGAGTGTTGAAAAATATTTCACGAGTGAGCGCAGCGAACGAGTGAAATATTTTTTCAACACGAAAAGAGAAAGAGTACCATTTTTTAAGCATGATTTGTTTGTCTACATTTTCTTTAAAATACTTATTGTATTTACAGTACAATAGGCCAGTTGCGCTAAGAAGTCACGTGACCAATGCTTCCTTAAAACGATGAGTTGGAATCTTGCTGATGCCAAAAATTGACAGAGCACATAAACATTATCTTACACCAGAAATTTGAGAGGAAAAGCACTTAAGGGAGATATTTTATGGCACTTTGATTTTTCAACAAAGCAGTACGATTTGTATTGGCCGCCTTGTTGGAGGGCATACTCTTGCCCTCCAACATGGCGGCCAAAACTACTTTTTGCTTATATCTTGTTAAACGTTTGATAGTTGCGCTCAGATGTGATGTAAACGTTACCACATCATATTTTCAACATTTCCCTCGAACTTTAAGTGCAAAATTTGGGTTCTGAAAGATGTAATTCCTAATTTTAAAAACCACATTTTCTTCACGTGACCGGCTACGAACTTATTCATTTTAAGAAAATGGTGCGGGTTTGAAAAACCAAATCACTATTATTTTGTTTAAGATATGACCCACTAATCGTTTTTCGAAGGTAAAATCATATAACTTTCATTTTCATAAAATCGATGTCACATGACCTCTTAGTGCAAATGGCCTATACTAATTATACCATTAATATATGTCACTTTTCTTTTGATTATTATCGTTATTACACTTTATTTTTATTATAACTAAGTATTTTCCATTTACTAAAAACGTTTTTCTTGTATTTTTGTTTTTATTTAACTGAAATAGTTATCAAATATTTGGTGAATTAATTTAAGTTGTGATTTAAGGTCAATTATGTGTCACACTTGTGTGTTCAACACCAGACTTTATTTACATACACCAAATATGAAAACCAAATACAGCTTATTGCCAAAGGCACGCTGTTTTTGAAAAGAACAATGAAATAATTTTAAGGCCACGCAAGCGCAGCAACACACGATATAAACAACAACACCCCTGATCCGCAACAATATTTACCTCCCTGGAAGCAGCGATTAAAATTCAACACTGATTAAAACTACCACACAATCAGTAAGCTCATTTTAAAAAGCGATTAGATGCGTAAAAGACAACAAATTCAAAAACAAGCAACTAATATAACTAACACAAGAACAATGAGACAAAAGAGTAAAGACCTTCAACAAAAGTAAGTATTTAGAAAGACACAAATCAATCCCACCGCTGTGTCAGGGCTGTGAAATTTGGAGGGAAATATCAAGAAACAGCAAGAAATCAACAAAAGCCCACACTCGAACGGATTGATATGAAGAACGGCTAATCCAATCCGCAAAAAAATAGACGGATTTTAAAGGAGTGTAATCAATGAATAAAACCTCCTATTCTGAAGGCTATCCGTTGCGTAATTTGGATAAAAAGGGTGACTGATCGACGATGATCTTACTGGTCCCACAGAAAAGATGGCGGTCCCGCCAAACAGCCCTCGGCACAAAGCGGTAAAATTACACAATTACGCACACAAAACGCTCTAGAGGTTTACACAAACAGATAAAGGCAACAATAAAGCACACACACTTACGATCAAATTAGCGAAAAATAGCGATATTAGCCTAGCGTTTTGTCTTTCTTCACCTCTGTTGTTCTCTCCTCGATGGCGTCCCACGCTAATCTGCAGAAGCGACGCGAAGCACTCACCCGTTGCTATGTGACGTCACACTGGCACGCAGAATGGGTCAATAAACGTAATTGGAAAACAATCGAGTCGCCCCCTCCCTCCTGGCTTTGACGCAGACGGACGGCTATTCCCTGCACCAAAAACAAAGGGCATGTCATTAACGTCTACTCTGTGATGGTGTGCGTTTACTAATACCGTTAAACCGAATGAACCGAATGAACATGTTATATTCAAATGTTCCATTGATCCAACCAGTTATTATAATTTCTAAATGGTAATTTTTTTACTGCAGTCGTACCGTTGTCAAGAATGGAATTTACCACCATCCGTCCAAGAAAACGAAGACACGTCTTAAACGACACTTCAGTTAGCATCACAATACAAGACGTGAGAAAAGAAATCACAAAGCAGTTTGAACAACTTATGCCCCTCAAGTACTGTAAGGCAAGTGAAAAGGTCTGTCCTGCAGGCCTCCCCGGACTCCCTGGTACCACTGGTGCAAAGGGACCACGTGGCAGGAGGGGACCGAAGGGAAAGAAGGGCTCTCGAGGCCCCATGGGACCACCTGGAAAATCCGGGAAAACAGGAATCACGGGTCCTACTGGACCGAGAGGAGAAAAGGGAGACAAGGGAGGACCTGGGCCGAAAGGCATGCCGGGACCACCTGGAAGGCCTGGAAAATCAATATCTGCACCACAAGTAATGTTGTCACCGGCAGAACAGACAAGGGATGAAGGACGAAACACGACCTTTTATTGCACGGTAGGAGGAAATCCTAGCCCTGCCGTCGAATGGCGATTTAGAAGCAGAAACCTTGTAGCAGGAGCAAAGTATTTGATTAAAGAGGGAGAGTTGATTGTTATGAATCTGAACTACAGCGATGCTGGGCAGTACATATGCCATGCCAGGAACATTCTTGGATCATTTGAGGCCACTGGTAACTTGTCTGTTAGAGGTAACAGGAAAATTGAAACTTCCGATGATCACTGATGCCTGTGAACTAAAAGGCGAGATCGAATCATACTTATGGCTGAGATTTTACTGGTCACCTTATTTCTTGTTACTTTCATTATTTTTATATTTTCTTCTTGTGTTTTGCTTTTGTTTGTTTGTTTGGCTCTTTTTTACCATTTTTGTCTCACTGTCAACTTATACAATACGGCTGAAATTAATCTTTATAAATATTTACAAATATGATGACTTAAAACTAAGCATCATCTTGTAGAATTGTGCTTTGCTCTGTTGTCCAAAAGCTTACAACGTTTGTTTCTATAATTTGTTTTAAACAACTTGTTTATCTTCTATCAGGTCTTCCAATCTTCTCAAAAGTTCCGCCATCACTCGCTACGCCAATAGAGCGCACTACCTTTCAAGTAGTTTGTCAAGCTGAAGGTTTTCCTCGTCCCGTTATAAACTGGAGTAGAGTTGGAATGCCTTTGCCAGCTGGAAGGGCTGAAGTAAACCAAGGGACACTAATCATTAAGAAACTGATTCCTGCGGACAGTGGTTCGTACGAGTGCATTGCAACGAACACAATGGGAACAAAGAGGGCAAGAACCAATGTTGCAGTACAACGAAAACCAGGTATGCTCTTTTGTTTTAGTGAACAGTCGTTCTGGTAAACACAATAGTTTTAGATTCGTTTTTATTATGGTCTGATTATATTTTTATATTATTATATTATATTTTTCTCCATCTTTTTACTTGTAAACAAATCGGTCAGTATAAAACAAGTCTGCGGACTGCGGACCACGTACTGCGGACTGGGTATAAAACACGGACTAGAAACTAGTGCGGACTGACTATAAAATACGGACTAGGTATAAAACGCGGACTACGGATTGTGTATACAAAAAAAGGTCTAGAAAGGTAGAACTGCAAAAAAAAAAATGAAATTTGTGATAATCCTATCAGCATAAATTGCTATTTTGCCGACACGAATCAGAGGGCTTGGGACGAGTGCTAAGGACGGCTAGGGTTTAATTTTGGGATTGTAGTTTGTAATGTGTGGCCGTTAGGAGAGTGAGGGATTTTACGGTCAGCCTTGGCCGCGTCAAGTTGTGTATTAGGTTTCTTCTTTTTTTTAATTTCCAAATATTGCACGCTGGGCCAGGACACATGCAAAAAGCTGCAAGCTAGGAACTACTTTTGCATTTTTTATTCGTTTGAGCTCAAACTTTGCAGGATGGTAGAACTCTGTATTCCAAAAAATCCTATGTTTTTTGTTTTCCGATTTCGACTTTTTGTTTTTCGAGAACGTGACGTGATAGAAACAAATGTGAAAAAAAAAAAAATTCAAAAACTCAATTGGTTAAAGAGTTATCAAGCTTTGATTTTTGAATTTCTCTCCATTTTGTTACGATTTTTAGCGGGGCTCCCTCGCTCGCAAAGCGCGCGTGGAACAGAGCCCCATACTCATAGAATATGGTCAACCTCTTTTCGTTTGGTTGTCACGTGACTGACCGAGCGTACGTACGTTCTCGTCTACAGATTGTACGGGTAGGGTAGGGGAGACTATCAAAAGCAAGGGAGGGGTTTCTCACGCGTGTCTTAAATCCACATCTTTTATATCGGCCATTCACAAAATGGTCAATAGACAGCTGTCAAAACAGGATAGCCACTGACCAGTATCACATGCCATATCGAGGGCTCATGTGTCAACTCATCAAGGTGACGTGATTTATTTGGAAGCTGTCCGCTGACCAGTTGTTTTGCTAGATCGTGATCAATGTTCAATCTCATACTTTCTAGCTAGTTTGAGAGCACAGGAAAACTGATAATGCACACATCCATTAGAAATCAATGTTGTGATCAATTAACAGCTGTCAAAAGAGGGTTTCCGCTGACCAGTATCACTTGACCGTATCGCGGGCTCAGGTGTTGACCCATCGAGGCCAAGTATTTTTTGAAGTTATCCGCTGACAAGTTACTAGTTTTCAAATGATCGCAGGCTCAAGTTTGATTTTTTTTAAATCATATGAAATATGTTTTGTTTTTGTGCCGCACAATTAAAATTTTGATTTAAAACTGACCCCGGACGCGAAAATTCAGCCAGCTATTACAGGCAGGGGAGACAGTTGCTTTTGACTTTGCTCACCATGGTCACGCGTTAGTCACGCTCTACGTTTAATTTTTATGCTCTGATAGGTGAAAATTTGACAGGTGAGCTCATGCAGAAAATTTGTGCAGCATCTTGAACCTTGTTTACTTTGACAGCTGAAGCTGACAGAGTTTTGTATCAACTTGTGATGTTTTTAACTGTCTTTTTCTGGATGCACAAAATGAAATTCAGTTGCTATCAGGAGTCTTCTGTTATTCATGATTATGGCTAGTTTGTTTATTGGATTTTTGGTTGAGAAATAAGTCGCTTGTCAAAGTCGGAAATCCGATTTCGGATGGCATCGTTTTCGTTTTTCACCTTGCTTGATGCGTAAGGGTTGAAAAAGTTTGAAGCGATTGCTGGTTTTCAGTGTCACGCCATTCAAAATAGATCAAAATGAAAATCAAAACCGTTCAATAGATAAAAACCAGAATCTGGAAAATGAAAGGAGGTAAATATGCAAAGACCCTCGCCAAGATTCAGGTCAGAGGAATATTTCTTATACGAGATATTCGAAGAAACGTTTTACCCAAATTTATAGAGATTTGTATGGAGACGCCATGCTGGTGCTCACTTGGGTGAGCTCCAACATGGCGGACGGAAACCAACAAAAATATCTGTTACCGAGTTTTGCTACAAAAGCGTGAATTTATTCTTCCAAGAACCCATAAACATTAAAGAAATACTTTTTTAATACATGAACTGTTTAGATAGGAAATTTCCCTGAAATAAATCATTTTTTTTACCTACATGATAGCTCTCTTGGCCGTCATGTAAATGCCGCGTCACGCAGAAGCTTAGAAATTCAAGCGTACTCTATCACAAAACTAAGAAGTCCCTTTTGAAGCGAAATTTTGTATAAAAATTAGTTTTCAGCTGGTCTAATACATCGTGAAAGTAAAATCTCGGTAGCATTGATAGTTTTGTAGTTTGAATTTTAGTGACGTCATGTGAAAACCAGCAAGCGACACTGGCCTTACTTGATACCTTTCAGGAGCTGCATCTCGAATGCTAAGCCTCAGTAATTATTGTGTTTGATGTCTGTTTTTTATATCTAATTTAATGAAGTCGAGCATAGTTTATGCGGCTATGTAGTTTATGCACGTTTGTAAGATTTGAGACAATTTGATCTGACCAAGAATCAGGTTTGATATAAGCTTACAGAACTTTAAAAAGCCTTTAGACATTTTCTCACCGCAAATAGAAAGAATTTTTTCTTGCCTCGAGTTCATCTTTGAAAAAAGTAAATACCGGGAAGCCGGCTTAAAACATAAACTTAAGCTTTACGCTTGAAGACTCAGGATTTTTAGAGACACTTTAATACTTGTCTTCGTGAATGAAAAATGTTGTCTCTGTATATGTTTCACCGAATTATATTTCTGTTATTGATTGTTGGTAGTCTCTGTTGTAGCGGAGCTCCCTGCGCGCGCGAAGCGCGCGCGAGCGGAGCACCATAACTAAGATAATTTGGTAAACTTCTTGTCTTCGTGAATGAAAAATGTTGTCTCTGTATATGTTTCACCGAATTATATTTCTGTTATTGATTGTTGGTAGTCTCTGTTGTAGCGGAGCTCCCTGCGCGCGCGAAGCGCGCGAGCGGAGCACCATAACTAAGATAATTTGGTAAACTATCCATCCGAGAAATTTTGGTTATGACGTCAGCGTACGTCCGTCCCTACGGACTTTCCGGGTAGTGGAAAGTAGAGCGCATGGACTCTTGGGGTAGGGGAAAGTAGATATTTTTTGACGGGAAATCGCATGGCGCAACGTCGCGCAATTATATCCCACAACTGGTTTTGAAAAGAGAAATTTCAAAGCAACTTAGCAAAAAGATTTTTCGACAGAGCCTTTATAACTTTTTATTACAACTTACGAAAGCTATTATTTCAACAAACAAAAGCAGAGAGATTTTAGCGTATAGACGACAGGTTTTAAGCAGAGAACAAAGAGAAGGTGAATGGCAGAGAGCAAGAGTCAACACGCGTAGAGCAAGCGAAGGCAATCGCCAAAGAGAGTGCGTTAGAAGTAGAAGAAGAAGACAAAATTTTAGCGAAGAAAGTCGGCAAGTAGAGAGACTCAGGGCGAGAAGAAGCAGAGAAAATTATAGTGAAAAACGCCGGCAAGCAAAACGAGACAGAGCTAGAATGAATAGACAAAGGCAACGCGAAAGAGAAATACAAAGGCAAAGAGAACCGCTGTAAAATAATGACATGATGACAGAAAGTGTTGAGTTAATGTCACTATGGCTCCGCGCTATTAACATGTTGATTTCAAACTGATCTCGGACGCGAAAATTCAGCCAGTCATTTAAAAATACAAGCAGGGAAGACAGCTTTTCATTTTTCTCACCATAGTCACGCGTTGATCACACTCTACGACTGTCCCATTTTTATGCTGTGATTGGTCAAAATTTGACAGGTGGTTCATGCAGAAAATTTATACAGCATCTTGAAACTTGTTTACTTTGACAGCTGAAGGTGACTGAGTTTTTTGTCAACTTGTGATGTTTTTTTTACTGTCTTTTTCCACTGGATGCATAAAATGAAATACAGCTGCTATCAACAGTCTTCTGTTATTCATGGCTGGTTTGTTTATTGAATTTTTGGTTCAGAAATGCGCCGCTTCTCAAAGTTGGAAATCAGATTTCGGATGACATCGTTTTCGTTTTTCACCTTGCTGGATGCCGGTTGAAAAGTCCTTCAAGCGATTCTAGCCTTACTTGATAGCTTTCAGGAGCTGCATCTCGAATTGTAAGCCTGAGTAATTATTGTATAAAGTGTATGTGTTTGTTTTTTTTATATATCTAAATTCATGAAGCCGAGCCCAGTTTATGAGGCTAGTTTATGCACGTTTGTATTAAGATCTGAGACAATGATCTGATCTAGTATGAGGCTTGATGTAAGCTTACAGAACTTTAAAAAGCCTTTAGTCGATATCTTCTCTCCGCAAATAGAAATTAAAAACGTTCCGAAGAGTATTTAGTTATAATTTTGGCTGTAGAAAGAAAGCTTTGAGCGATTTTCTTGCCTCGAGTTCATCTTTGAAAACAGTGAACACCAGGAAGCCGGCTAAAAGCTTTAAGCTTAAGCTTAAAGACTCAGGATTTTTAGAGACGCTTTAATATTTGTCTTCGTGAATGAAAATTGTTGTCTCTGTAAATGTTTCACCGAATTACATTTCTTTTATTGATTGTTAGTAGTCTCTTGCAATTTTAATCCCTTTGCCGTTTGTTACTCTTTTAATGTTCACTGAAAATTTGGCCTTGTCAAAAGTGAGAACCGGCTGGCCGTATAGGTGATTTTGTACATTTTTTGAACGGTTTTGCTAAAAGCCCACGCGTGCTTCGTACGGTTCTGAATATTGAATGGGCTCAATTTGTCTTGAAAAATTGTGAAATACTGCATTTTGTCTGAGGTTTGTGTGATAAAAACAGCGCCCCATATTACTGTTTCGCCTCAGATGTGATGTAAAAAAAAGTATGAAATGTTGGTTTACACGCACCCAGAGTTGTTGGCAAGATTTTGTTGAGTAAACTTGTCGAACGCAAAAATTCGGCCTGATTTGTTTTCCAAGAATTCGTTTTCCAGGCCTAACCTACTGGGATCAAGAGCCATTATGGCTCTTAAATGTGATCGAAGATGATTGCTATTTTTTGGGTGTATATATACGGGTATCAATTCGATGTAAGATTTTTTTTTCACTCCAAAATCACTTAGCCTTAGCTTTCATTAAAAAGTCACATATGTGCCCTTAAGTTAACTGATTTGTGCATTACAAGTTTATTGTTTGATTTAAATTATAAATTTAGTAATGGGAGCTTCGCTTTTAGCCCTGGCTAAATCTATATATTAATTTTAATCGCTGTGCCGTTTGTTTTCAGTCGTTCAGTGAACATCGCTTGCAGGAGTACTCAAAACGCCGCGCGTATCAAACGCTTTTAAAGATTACTCATCGATAAAACCATTAACTAAAAAATAAACATAATAATTCTTTATTATGTTGGAGCTTAACTCTAGTATGTTCGTTCAAACACTCACTACAGCTCGCACCGCGAAAAAAGAGAACCGGCTGGCCGTACATGGGTGTATATGTGATTCTGGATATTTTATTAACGGTTTAGCTAAAAGCCCACGCGTGCTCCGATCGTCCTGAATATTGAATGAGTGCAATTTGTGTTGCCAAATTGTGAAATACTGCATTCTGTCCGAGGTCTGTATGATAAAAACAGTACCTCATAGTACTGTTTCACCTCAGATGTGATGTATAAATGATATAAAAGGTTGGTTTACACGCACCCAGATTTGTAGGCAAAATTTTGTAAAGTAAACTTGTCGAACGCAAAAAAATAAAGTTAACTGAATTGTGAAATACAAGTTTATTGTTTGATTTAAATTATAAATATATTAATGGGAGCCTCACTTTTAGCCCTGGCTAAATCTATATATTAGAAACATAAGGACATTTCAAGATGCTATATCTCCTAGAGCAATGGCCCCGTCTGCCAGGCTGGGTTGTTTTGTCAAGTGGCCACGTTGGCTCAGTTTTCATGTAATTACAAAGTTGATGTTTGCTGCGTTTAACCAAGGTGCAGAGATCTCGGTCTCAAAGCGGCGAACCGAGCCATCCTGTGTAAAATTCAGGCCCTGAGTGTCTTAAAAGTGGCAATGACCGTTTACAAAGGGAAAATTCGCTCCTTCGATCGTTACTGCTAACCCGCCGCCTTACCTAAACCGATTTGAACATTTATTATGTAAAAAGGTGAGGCTTACGACTATATTGAAAAAAAAAATAACAACAACAACAACAAAAAAACAAAAACAAAAACCAGGGGCACCCAACGACCGTTTTCTGGGAAATATCTGTTCGGAGCCCTCTAGAATGGCTAAAATTTTCGAGAGCCCAAGAACAGCTAAAAATTTCGAAAATGTTTCGTGGTGACTGGTTGTTGGGCTCAGAGTTTCGGGATTTGTGTGGTTTGTTCACCTAAGAATTTCGGATTTTGTAGTAATCTCTAGATTCTGATTTCGGTACCTAGAAATTTCGTAGCTTTCGTAAACTAAGAATATCAAAAAAACCCCGCTAATCAGTCAGTGCCATGCCGTATTTCAGATTTTTCAGTAAGTGCCGTGCGAATTGAGTTCGGTAGGGTACAAGACGTTTGAAACTGGCATTAAAATCACTTAAATGCCTTTTCTATTGTTCTTATTTTTGTTCTTCTTATTTTTTTAATTATAATTATTCTTATTATTACACCTAGAATTTTCTATATATTCTACGTCGCCCTAGAAAATTCGAAGACATTCCCACAAGAGATAGAGTTTTCGGAAAAAAATTGAAAGGACCCCTAAAAATTTCGGCTAAGGGAAAAGCTCGTCTGGTAATCTTACGTTTTCGGAAAGCTTTCACTGTAGGCTGTTATTTTCGGGAAAGGCGAAAAACAGCCCTAAAAAATTCGAGAGGTTCAAACCACTCCTAGGACGACCGAACAGTTCAAATTTTTTTAGCGATGCGAATTATTGATTTATATTGCTTTTAAAGCACTCCAGGGTGCATAACGAGCCATTTCAGATCATTTCCCAGAAAACGGTCGTTGGGTGCCCCTGAAAAACGTCCGAGAGGAAGAAAGTAATTTGTTTGTTCTGCGAAGGACTTGAAAATGCAGATAAATTGAGTTGTCTCAAGTTCAAGTTCAAGTTCATTTATTCACACTTATTCAATTACAATACAACAACAAGAAAAAAAAAAGAAGTGAAATTAATAAACAGAGCTAACTATACATTGAATTAAACATAACAAAGGAAAAAAGTGTGTAGCAGCCAAAGGAGCCAATCTTCCGAGTTGTCTCGGTCTCTCTTACACCGAAACACCTTGCAGATTACTGAATCTACATGTATAGTACCAACCTGGAGTAGATATGTGATTTTAGAACCGTCTTCGAACGAAGCTCTCTTCTGAACGCCTCAGCTAGCTCTTTCAAGATTGCTCTGTACCGCGAGAAGGTTTTACTCGTCCTTTAATAAACTGGAGAAGAGTGGGAATGTCTTTGCCAGCTTGAAAGACTGAAGTAAACCAAGGGATACTAACCATTAAGAACCTGACTCCTGTATGGCGCGCCGTTTGTTTCAAAATTATTTTTGTCAGTTGTACCATTTCATTGTCTTTTTCGTGAAATTTTCCTTCTTTTATTTGGTATCATTTGCTGTTTCTTTTTAATAAGTCTCCTCTTGATTTTCGGCATTCATAGAGATACTGTGGTATAAATATATTCTCTGTCAGTTGTACGCATCACTCAGTCGGTTGTAAGCTGTACGGGCTACAAATTGCCCGTTATAAACCTTAATTCTGTCGGTTAAAATATTTACACTATCGGTAACTACCTTCACAAGAGTTCCACCGTCACTCGCCACGCCAGTAAAGCGCACTACCTACCAAGTAGTTTGTCAAGCTGAAGGTTTTCCTCGTCCCATAATAAACTGGAGAAGAGTGGGAATGTCTTTGCCAGCTGGAAAGACTGAAGTAAACCAAGGGATACTAACCATTAAGAACCTGACTCCTGCTGACAGCGGTTTGTACGAGTGCATTGCAACGAACTCAGTGGGGACAAAGAAGGCTAGAATCAACGTGGTCGTTCAACAACAAAAGCTAGGTATACTCTGCTTTTAAACAAAGAGTCATTCTGGTAACCACAGTAACCTGAGATGTTTCTATTCATGTATGAGATTTAAGCAAGACTTCCAATCTCAATCTGATTTATACAATAGCCTGAAATAATATGATATATTTCTCCCTCATTTTACTTGTGAACAAATAAATAGAATGAAATTCCCAACCAAAGTTTTCATGCTGCCCAGATTTTGAAAAGAAAATCAATCCTTTTCTTTTATAGATTATAGCCTTTGTGCTCTAAACTACTGTACGTGTAAAATAAAGTAAAAACCTGCGTATAAGAACTTAGATTTTCCAATTTAGCTTAAAGTGGTTCTTATAGCAATGGTATTTAGTGGGATTTTAGGCTACTTACAGTATGTTCTTAAGTTAACAGGTTATTAATTTGATAGGGCCACTAAAAATAAGTGATATGGAATAATATTGCTGTAAAAATAATTATCTGGAACTGATACAGTTTACATGATAACCATACAGTAAATTAATCTTTTCAACAGGTTCTTAAATTTTAGGTTTTTAAACGCGGGTTTTTTACTGTATTGCACTCTTTCAGTGACTTTTAGCACTACAAGGCCAACACGTAACGCCTCAGGAAACTTTGAGATTCTTGAGAAATAAAATTAACTGAATACTTGCATTATGTGGAGTCTACGAGAGTACAAAGTTAACATTTAGTCAACATTCTGGTAGCATGCAGTGCATTGTTTTGTACAAGTTACGTGAAACAGGCCTGTTTTCATTGCGAATAGATTCAGCTTTAAAATTATTGGTGTCACGTCACCTTGACTGTCTATACATGCACACCTCTATAGGCTATCCAGAGTAGTTAAGGCCGATTTAGTCGGTACGATTTTTGCTTATGACAGTGAGGGTCGGTCCAAAGAACGGTTTACAGAGAGTTGACTGTACAGCTTGGTACAGTATGACTTGTTATACTTAAATTTACAATCTTAAAGTTATACACTCCTTGATGTTGAAATTTTTGATCATAATAACCCACAAGAATGAATGAATGAACCAACGAACGAACGAAGGAATGAATGAATGAATGAATGAATGAATGAAGGAAGGAAGGAAGGAAGGAAGGAAGGAAGGGAGGGAGGAAGGAAGGAAGGGAGGGAGGAAGGAATGAAGGAAGGAAGGAAGGAAGGAAGGAATGAAGGAAGGAAGGAAGGAAGGAAGGAAGGGAGGGAGAAAGGAAGGGAGGAACGGAAGGAAGGAAGGGAGGGAGGGAGGGAGGGAGGGAGGGAGAGAGGGATGGATGGATGAACGAATGAATGAATTAATGAACGAACGAACGAACTGACGAACGAACGAACGAACGAATGAATGAATGAATGAATGAATGAATGAATGAATGAATGAATGAATGAATGAATGAATGAATGGATGGATGGATGGATGGATGGATGGATGAATGAATGAATGAAACGAAAAAGACTTCTAGATCTAACGTAAGGAAATCAATACGCTTATTGGGGACATCTAGTTGTTATCTCTACTTCATAAAATTGTTCATATCTTAAACAGTAAAATTGCTGCATAAGCTACTTGATCTTGCTTGGCTAAACTGGTTCTTGTATTTTTGGAAATTAAAGTGGCAAGCTGCTGCCAGGGGAATCTTAATCAACAAGTTCTTATACACAGGTTTTTACTGTGAAAAAAGTATGGAAGGTGAGCCTGCCTGTCATATCGCTGGATATAATAAAGTCCAAATTTTACTATCTTAAACTTGTGTATTTATATCGTTGAAAAGGCAGCTTAACAAATATTGACGTCAGCCATCAATTGTCAACAGGCCATTCTTAATGCTGGTCTTCATTTGTTCAGATTTAGAAGACTCCGTTATTGTGGGAAACAGCATAAATTACTTGAGGACTTTAAGAAGCTGGCTGTCTCCAGTGGCACGAAGCGTGAATTCTGCCTGGAAGCGCTGTTGGCATGCATCTGTGGACGGCTCGGCTGCAAGTACATTTCATTCACGATGTGATGGCAAGGGACCGACTGTAACAATAATAAGAGTTGGAAAATATATTTTCGGAGGATACACCAGTGTTTCATGGGGTAAGTTATTGTTGTTCAGATAGGCTGATCCAGGCGTTCAGATAGTAGAGCGCGGTCTTCGGATGGTGGGAGGCGAGTTACGCAAAGGAAATGAGGACGAGCATCATCAAAACTATCCAGCCTTTGGATGCACAGATTGAAAGGATGTTTTTTCACTTTTCTTAGATCTTGTTCTAGCCTCACTCCGCCCCTTATCCTCTCGTATCATCACTACTTCCTGAATTTAAAGACGATTCTTATCATTAGTAAGCTTCATTTGAAACTAAAAAGTACTTATACGGCCATAAATATTATAATCATTTAGCTGGGAATTCCAGGCTGCAAATACAGCATGCTAAATCATAGTCCAGTCAAATTGTGGTTTAGCATTAAAGTAATTGCAACAGATTTTTTTCAACGCCATTAAATTGTTGGATGGCTATTTAACAACATACTAAAAATCTGCCAAAATCAGTTCGGTGAAAGATGTGAGAAATTGGCAATAAAGATTTTCCACTTTCACCACAAGAAACCCAATATCGGGAAGATCACAAATTCAAGTCTGATAACAACCTCGTTTCCAGGGTTCTCTTCTACCCTGGGAACGAGGTTGGTCTGATAATTGTGTTCTTTTTTCTCAAGAATTTTCGATGGAACATCGCTAATGTTTTTTGGGTAGTTTTGTTTTAAAAACCGCCGACAAAATGTGTGAGAAACACGTTGGTCAGTGTTTCGTCTTGAGGGCTTTGCACAGGTTACCCAGCCACTCGTCTGTCTCACATTCTGTTTTCCGAGCTTTAATTGTTTTTTTCTATGACGGTATTTAAAATGGAAATTATTAGTCAGTCTTTGTTAACATGGTTTTTGCGCAATATCAGAAATGCAGTAGGTATGAGCAGTTTTACATCAGGCTTGTAATTTTTTTATATCCTGTAGCATGTATGCAAATTCAGAGTAGCTGACTGATGGTGAACAATTTGATTTGATATTTTGTTCACCTTTAGTCAGCTACTTAACTTGAATCCATGCTGCAAGATACGTGCGACTAAATGTTTGCAACGGACGATAGATTTGTATCAGTACAAACTGTTTATCCTATTCCCATTTTGCTCAAAAGTCTTGGACAATATGTGTGATCGAAATCAGGGATTCTTTTTATTTCTCGGGACATGAGCAACCTCCTTTATGATTACGACTCTGTACTTTACAATGTGAGTGAATAAATATTCTGCTAAGGACTCCGTCTATTTGGTTTTTGCTTGATCGTAACGGTCTGCGCTTTTCATTACACATGGCCAAGAGCCATAATAGGTCCTATTATGGCTCTTGACATGGCCGAATCTGTAGTAAGGGAAATCCAGAAACCCAAGCGCAGTATGATTGTTCTTCTTTTTTTTTTTAATCTTCCTCTTGTAGCGAGTCTCAGATCTCAGTTTAGTTCAGTGTATCTCTGTCAGTTTGTATTTTCTGCGTCAGTCCTTCATTTCTTGGTAAGATGAATAAGTAGATTAATCGCTCTGTGGTCTAAAGACGTTTATATTCCCTCCTTGCATTTCTTTTCTGAGAACAACCATGAACCTTGACCAGTTTTTTCTCGTCCATTGGCAAATGACGACCTGTCGTGAATGCTAACGCAGAAATTTCATTTCACAGTTTCAAGGGTTTATTCCAAATAGGAAAAGTTCACTGCCAAAGGTACACACGAAATCTAAACCCAACTAACTAAAAAAATTCAGATAACATGCTTAAAAACAAGGTATACATTCCGATCACTACCACGATAATTAAGTGTCCATCTTAATTGTCACGCAATGTTATAATCTCACACAGACCTCTTTTTCTTAACGATCATGGGATCCTATACGTCTGAAAATAATTGCAGTGGTCAATGAAGGCCCAAAAGTACTGGACACATGTACAACATTAATGGGCTTGCCTGACTTAGCTTCTTATGGATCCCCTTTTTTTGGCGGAACCTATGTTTCTCTTCGGATGTGCGTTGTGTAACACTTCAACTTACTGCATGTTAACCTTATGACTGAGTTGCGTAAATTATGCTCTGCGCGGGGAATTTCCATTACTCCATAGACTCTTACAATATATATTTTTACGTACGCATTGTTTTGGCTACCCAGAGTTTGTCTTTCTCTTAAAAAGCAGATTCCCTATTATACTATTTCGTTTTCTTGAAGCAAACGTTTGCTGGAACCAAAGTTCTTATGCGATGAATGTTCCGTTAACCTTTATAATTTTTTTGCGAAGATAACAACACTTTTCCTTAAATGAAAACGCACTTCCCTTTTATCAAATTCATAGGCATTGCAGCTTAACCTGCTCAAAAACTCTGCATTGTTGTGCATCGTAAAGGATTAGTTAAACTATTCTCCCCTCCTCTCCATTCACTTTTCACAAGAACAAAACGAAAAGCTTCAAAAAAGTGAAACTGGTATATCGTAAAAGCATGCAAAGCATTATCTTGCTAGATTTTTGAGAACGTACCGAACAAACTAAAATCGTCGTTTTTATCCCCAAAAGCTAGGTAGCAGTTATTCTTTCTTCTTTCACTTTCCATAAAGTAACAAACAGATTTTGCGCATTTTTTGTTTGAACGTTTAATTTCAACTAACGTGGGTTCCATGTGCTAAAAGCTCAAAATGTTTAACGCTTAATTTTGACATGTTCCACCGAACGGATTTTGGCGGATTTTTAGTATGTTGCTAGGTAGGCCACCCTTACTTAAAAGGCGTTGAAAACAATTCTGTTGCAATTAGTTTGATGTTGAGCCTCAAAAATGCCTAGACTGACTGGACTATCAGGCCAATTGTGATGAACGGATTATTTTAAAAAAGTTTTGGGAAGCCTTTAGATACAATTTCTGTACCAAACGTTTGTACTTTTAAGGCCTGTTAAAGGGCGATAATTAGTTTTACTATAATGTGCCCTTCTACATTCTAAATTTTCTTGCTAACATTATATAATTATGTACACGTAGGTTAAACAACCTCCTGCTAATTTATTGTACAAATAAAGTATTTGATCTATAGAATGGAGTAAAAAAATACGAATAAAATACAAACACTTTTAAGGCCATGGAGCCTGCTACATCAACTATTTGTACTTTGATAAGAAAAACTGAATTAAAAAGTTCATGAGTCAGTTCAAACGAGAACTTCAGACCTGGTGGCAATTTAGTGTGTAAACTGCGTTTGAGTGAATTTACCGTTTATTTTAATTGTACATCCGTCGGTTAATTTGTTCAGTTAAAATATGATGAATAGAAATATTTTCTAGAATAAAGAGTGTTTTTTTGTAGATCAATTAATTGAACTTCTTTCCGACAGATTTTTGCTCAAACAACCGTCGTTTGATTAGTGCTTTTTGTTTGTTTGTTTGTTTGTTTTTTGCGCATTTTTTGTTTGTTTGTTTTTTTGTTTTGTTGTTAATTTGGTTTTAAAATGTTTGTACTTGTCCTACAAATACAAATGGAACATGTCAGACTCAAACTCGTTTCAAATTAGAAAGCTTGTTTCCAGGTTTGTCTTCAAAGTCCATGCACTTGACGGGTGAAATAATTTCTAAAGTGAGTATCAGAACAAACGGCGCTAATTACACTTGGTTCCATCTTTAATTTCTCTCTGATAGCTTCCAGTGGTGTGTACCAGTACGACTCCAAAGCATTTTTGTTTTCACTGGTGAACAAACCAGGATGGGCTCCTGTTAAACTGCCTCAGACAGGGAAATATAGTTCAAGCAGATATTCAATATACTGTGGCTCAAGTTATGGACCTACATTTGGAAATGGATTTGACATTTACATTTCCAGCTACGCGTCAACCAATAGCAATTCTTACAGCAACCTTGGCTATACTTACAGCCCACCGAGCGGGTACAGCTACAGCAGTACCTTCGCCCAAACATTCCTGGCAGGATCGTACAAGTTCACACCAGACGAAGTAGAAACTTTTTACGAAACAAACTAGAAATAATAATTAATAATGGGTCACATGCACTTTGATATTAGTGTTCCATTAGTCTTAAACATTAAGTTAATAGTCGCTAAAACGAATTCATGACATACTGTCCTGTATGTACTAAACGAGGAAAAAAGATGAAACACCCCATAAGGAAGTGTAGACACACATTTTTCGAACATTTTATTTTCTATTTGAATCTTCATTTATTTTGTGTTCACTATTTTACCATGTACTTAGGACAAAGGTCTCTTGAGCAAACAAACATGACGTCGGGTTGTTGGGTAGAGCTATAGTCGCATTGAGGACCACTTCAAACGAAGGATGACAAAAATGTCAGAGCGAGATGCGGCAGAAGTGCCGATTCAACCTCAAGTCATAGAATTAAAGGAGTTGAAGTTTAAGTGTCTACACATATTGTCCCTTCCTTTTAACCTGTTTATACTACTGCATGAGAAATTTCTGCAATTTGATTGGCTTAGAGCAGTGGTATTACAGCTTAATTTGAAATAACTACATGTGAAAATTACAAACCTTTTGAGGGCTGTAGTATAAACAAATAATAGCATGATTTGTACGTGATATTTGGCATAAATACCACTTGTGATATTTCAAAATTGTCTCAAATTTCACTCGCCTAACGGCTCGTGAAATTACGTATAACAATTTCGAAATATCACTCGTGGTATTTATGCCAAATATCACGTACGAATCGTGCTATTACCTATACTAATCATTTTAAGTTTCAAATATTTTATCATTTTACCTTTCAAGTATTTATATTGGGGAATATTTTCACTAAGGGGATCATATTTATTCAGTCTATGATAAGAGATAAAATTTGGGGGGAAAAATTCAAAAAAAAATTTAAAAGTATAAAACACAAAAAACACGTAAACTTAGTATCGTAATGATAGGAATAATAATGATAACAATGATATTAATAGGTTTTGGGTTGTGACAAAACAGGAGTCAAAAGGAGCCGCCTCTTACTGAACAGGGGTTGAATGAAAACAACTAATTTGTGTTGAGGTTAGGCAAACAACTTGGACTTCTGTATGATCAATGTTTTCGATTTATCTTGTTTTAGGAATAGGGTGTTCACATACTAAGTTCAATCAGAGTAAAGTAGAAGTAGGCGCTGGTTCCCAGATTACGGAACTAAAACAAACACTATTGTTCCAAACGTTTTGCCAGAAATTAACACAAGTTGAGTCTCTCAATCTTGCTTCCGGTCCTCAACTCGCTAATATGGATTCTATTCATTTCGGTGTTGGACATTTTGGCTTTATTCAGGGGTATATATCATATAAATAAATTTGTTTCTAGGTCGGTTCAGAAATCAAAAGTTCCACCATATCTCAAATATTTTTTCTTACGGGACAAAGGATGGTATTTACAAGCTATCAGAACAGCTGGACAAACTTTAGTTTTTAGTAGCAAACCTTTGCTGGTCAGTCAAGTCCTTTGCTAAAAGATTTTTGCACCGACCTCTTTGGTGTTGGGATCAATCAAAAATGGAAGTTGGACGAACGGTAATTGCAGCAACATCATAAATGTAGTTTCAGTCTTTCACAACTAAAGGTTTAACTTAGGTTAAGAAACACCTCTTCAAGCTTACTCAAGAAACACGGAAACAAGTTCAAAAAAGATAGAAATAGGTAGAGGTATTCAGCTGTGGGATAGGAAAACAAGCGTTTCCTGTTAACGAAGTTCGTTTACTTAAACCTGAAGTTGGTTCTCACTTTCGCTTCCAAACTTGAATCATAATCAGATTTCCTATCTCATTAAAATCTAACCTAAGGCCACGCGTCCTAACACCTTTCGAGTTCTTTGTTCTCTGTTGAACCAGTTTTAGCCAAATTTCACTTACTTTTCTGATCTCAAACTACAATTTCTTTCGACACAATCTTAGGAAAATTTAGTTTCTTTCAAACTATGGTTTTGGTTCCCTGTAGAGGAATTTGGGTATAGAGATATTTCTAGTTTTGCAAATTTCTTCAACGCGTAGTGGGAATCAACTCAATTTCATTTCCTTTTATTTTCTAAACTCTGACACTTACTAACACCTTTTCCTTGCATATGAATGAAACGTAAAACTGTAAAAAATCAATTAACTTAATAGTTCAATATAGATAGAACCTCTTGTAACTAGTTTCACAGTTACGCCTTGAGATCTGAGATACCTGAGCTAAGAGGAGTTTGTAACCTCAACGGAAAGATTAAAACCATCGTCAACTTCCAAAACTCTGGTTGTGTCACCTCTCTTCAAGTAATCCTAAAGTCTGTAGAAGTCCCCCTCTACACACGTATATAGTTCAATCGGCAACGGTAAAAAGTCTTATCTTGATCCAGGTTTTCCCTTTATAATTTAAATACAAAATATAGATTTAGTGATATAATGACGTCTCTGACTAACTTTTGCCATAACTACCATGTAACACCTTCCTCAAATAAGCGCCGCACCCTCTCAACAATAGTGCGAAGCGCATTCATTGGTATTGTTAGACATTTTCAAAGCTGAAAATTATTATTGTTGTTATCATTCATTGATTTATTTCTCTAAAGGGGAAAAGATGTCAAAGCTACTGAGGCTAACTTTTTTCTAAGTTTTTTTTTGTTGTTGTTTCTTAATTTCAATGTCATTTTAATCTCTTGTTTAACTACACAAGGAAAGGGAGGCTGCAAACGAATAAAGACAAGATGCATTTTATGTCTTTATTAATTTTTGTCTCCGAAGTCTACTAAAGGTCACACGTTGATTTTCGCCTTCACAAATATTAATGATTTTCTAAGTTTCAAAGCGTCCAGTATCAAGGCGTTTTGTTTATAAGTTCGTATACTCTCATTTTTCTTCAAAGTCTACTCTAGAGAAGCTAAGGAAACCTGAGATTACTGGCCCCAATTTTACAAGCTGATAATAACAAACATCTTTTTGGAGTGTTGTATTTAAGAGGCAAAATAACAAATAGAGCGCAGGCTAGAGCTGAATCAAATGTCTTCATGCCGGACCTATCATATCAATCAATAAATCAATCAATCAGTCGATCAATCGATCATTCATTCAATCAATCAAACTGTTTAATGGAAAATGCATCGTCTATGATCTTGAGCCAAGAAGCATGTTGAAATAATACGACCTACAGGAAACACATGCAAACAAATCTTGATATATATGACGAGATTCATGTTCCAAATTATTAGTGTTGTCTCGTCAATTCAAGTAGAGGCCGTTTCGCTAACTCATTATTTTATTTTTTACGACAACTGACTTTGGTTTCTCCGTCACTTTTATGAAGGCTGTTTCGTCGCTAAAGAACGTTTTCTTGAAATGTGAACATGGAGCCGAATTTTAGCCATTATCTAATCTTCTCCACCAAACGTTTTTGACATCAAATCCAGGCCCTACTTTGTACCGTAATGCAACCGTAAAAAAATTGAATTGTGTCGTGAAATGTTTAAGAAGAAAAATATTCAGGTATAGAAGGATCGAGTAGCATTCTGTTATTTAACGCTTGGAAAGATAGTAGATTAAACTGAATTTTTAAACTGATCAACTCCAAGAAGGTCAGACAATAGAAGGAAGTGTGACGTCAGGTTACCATGGTTTCAAAGTTTCTGGATCTGAACAATCTTTCTTGACAGAGGAGCAAACGTTTTATTCTTGAGAGCAATTATGCACTGTCATTTTTTTCATTTGTTTTCTGACATATTTTCAGGTCCACGGTTTGTTAAGTACTAGACATTTTGTTACCATGCCAACGTGGCGTAAGGACTTCCTTCTGTTAACAGTCTACAAAGCGCACAGCCGTTGTTGTTTTTATTTTACATGTCTTTCGTTTGACGGCGGTCAAGACCTGGATACGTTAACTACGCAGATGGAAGAATGGGCTACTGTTTCAGTTTTATTCATTTATTTACAATAACGAACAAGAAAAAAAGAGTTGTTCTAATACCGTTAAAGAATACCTATATATGTACATCTTTAAAGAAAGAAAAATCAAAATACGCATCAGAATGATTTGTTACTTGGTCACGAAGATTTTCCTTTTAATACACCATGTTTAGAACCTACAATTACGAAGGGCTAAACAATGACGAATTTATGATCTGTAGTTTAACAGCGAAGATTACGCCTTAAGTGCTGCTGTTCTCGCCCCGTTATTAGCAGCTAATCCTCGAGTTTGTCCAGAAATTTTCTTCTTCATGTGTTCCGCCATGCCGGGTAGGCGTGAAAAGTAGTTACGAGCCAGTACGTGCTTGTGTAGAATCTTCCCGATAAACATCCGCCCGTATGCCTGATGGAAAGAAATACAAAGTTAGAGTGAGGATAATCGAAGGAAGTGAAGGGAATCACCTCCATTTTGGAGGGTGGGGTTGGAGTTGGAAATGGAGGGCGTTTCCTTTACTCCCACCCCAAAAGAGCTTGCTCGTATGGGTAAAACCATTGCTTGCAATATTTGTTCTGTACTCCACGACTTTGCGAAGTAGCGGGGTAGTTATCTCAACATGCAGGGACTAAATATTAATTGTGGCATCAATATCGTACCGGAAGAAGCACCAAACGAGAAAGCAAACATCGGTGAATAATCCTCATTTGCAAGGATCGATCATGCACGAAAGATCTTGCACCTACTTTTGAAATACAGTAAAAACCCGCGACTTAAAGAACCTGTCTTTTAAAAACCGGTTAGGCTAAAATTTGCCTGTTAGGCCCCCTCTATACAGAACCTGTGAAGACCAAAATTTGAGACAAGTTCTTAGTTTCTATTAAAAATCTATAACAAGAAAAATCTGTATACTTGAGCAAATAAGATAAGTTAACATTTACGATCCTCTTTGGAGACAAAGGTGTTTTGTTACTCCAACTAATATATAGATTTAGCCAGGGCTAAAAGCGAAGGTCCCATTAATAAATTTATTATTTAAATCAAACAATAAACTTGTAATCCACAAATCAGTTAACTTAAAAGCAAATTCATGCCACTTTTGAGGGAAAGGCTAAGTGATTTTAGAGTGAAACACCTTACATCGAGTTGATAGCCATATAAAACACCCAAAAAATAGCAATCATCTTCGATCACATTCAAGAGCCATAATCGCTCTTGATCACAGTATATTAGACCTGGAAAACAAATTCTTGGAAAACAAATCAGGTCAAAGTTTTTGCTTTCGACAAGTCTACTTTACAAAATCTTGCCAACAAATCCGGGGGTGTGTAAACCAACCTTTTATACTTTTTATACATCACATCTGAGGTGAAACAGTACTGTTTATCATACAGACCTCGGACAGAACGCAGTATTTCACAATTTTTCAAGACAAATTGCACTCAGTCAATATTCAGGACGATCAATTGTGGACTTTTAGCGAAATCGTTCAAAAAACTTCCAAAATCACCCATACGGCCAGCCAGTTCTCAGTTTTGATGAGCGCCAAATTTGCAGTGAACATTAACAGAGTTACGCTTCAACATAATACATAATTTATTATGTTTATTTTTTTTTATTTAAGGGTTTTATAACGATGTTAGCCTGCGAAGCAGGCGTCGAAAGGGGTAGCCACGCAGGCTATAACGATGTGTAATCTTAAAAAACGTTTAATACGCGCGCAATTTTGAGATAACTCCTGCAAGCGATGTTCATGAACGACTGAAAACGAACGGCACAGCGATTAAAATTGCAAGAGAGACTTCTAACAATCACTAAAAGAAATATAATTCGGTGAAACATTTACAAAGACAACAATTTCCATTCACGAAGACAAGTATTAAAGCGTTTCTAAAAATCCTGAGTCGAACTCGCATGGAAATCGCCACCCACTAACGCAGAGGTTTAAAATAGAACAATGCAGTAAGAAATAAGCGTTGACAGGCCAAACACGACTCATAAGCTCGTGATAATGTGAAACGTGACCTTGAGAGTCTGCTTGGACAGTGGTTCTCTTTCTTTTTTCTCTCGTGCGAAGGTTACTAGCACTACACAGTGCAAGACGTGTAGCATTCTAAACTTTGACTGAGTAAATCTTGTTTTTGCCGCACTAAGTCTTAAATTTAGAGGTCATGAAGCAGGTTTGTTACATGCATACTGAGTAATCATTTCCTGTGGTTTATGCTTCTGTACTGTGCTTCTGTACTGTGTACTGTGCTCTGAGCAGCAAAAGTACATCAAGAAAAAATAACCTTAAATTCGGTACACTGTCAGGTAACAAATGAGCTAATTATTTTACTGAATTCTTAGGATTTTTTTTCACCGGGTGTATGAGCAACTTATTTTTCGAGACAAGCGTTGTAATTTTCTGCTGCATACTGGCTCATGAATTCGCATTTCTTTTCTACCCTCCAGAAACTATACTGAAATGATAGAAAGAAAAATAAACTGTATTACAGTCAATTTCGAATGAATCCCAAATTTCGCTAGTAAACAACGTTCTCGTTCCAGACTCCTTTAAAATTTCCATCACGTGAGCAAACTGAACTGAAATGGAGGTGCCATGTGATGTTTTGCGGCGGGAATAAAACGTTAATGAGTAATATTACTGCACCTTGATGATCCGAGCTGCCTCGGGGTTGAAAAGAGGTGTTTTGCAATACTGAAGAAACAAAGTTAAAATTCTCTTGCGTAACCCTGAAAAATAAAATAAGCGCGTGTAAGGTAGCTTTATGAATAGCGTGCGAGAAGGCTCTTCATTTGGGGGAGTCGCGCTTCACTCGCCATAAATGGAGAGCTTGCCAGCAGACTCCTCTCGGGAGGACAATTGACAACAGTGCGGGGCTTGTTAGCCTCGTCTCCAGTCCCCGACGATCACCTTTCTGGGGGTTATTCGGGTTAATTCGTTCCCATCATACCCCTCACGCGCTTCTCGCTTGTCTCCAGCTCTCGCCCTTCTCGCTTGTTCCGTGCTCCCCACTGAGCCATTGGGAAAGCCTGTAGACGAGGCAGACGCGACGCGCATCACCGCACTGTCACGCTCCTCTTGTGTCTGGAGTCCTTAAGTTTCACAACGGTCTCAAACTGTGAGGGACGCGCGCAAATAGAATGAAGGACGAGAGAACGTCCCCGAACTACGGAACAGCACCAGGGTCATTCTACAGTGTAGTGTTACTTGCTGTGGAAGTGGCGATTTGAAAGAAATGACTAAAGACTAAATTAAATAGTCGCTAATTTTCCACAAGAAAACAAACGATAAACGATATAGTGCAGTAGGGGTTAAATTATACAGGGTAAAAAAAAATAATAATAATAAATAAAATAAAACGTTTTAAATGCGTCATCATTTGAACATGATGCAGGAATGTTCTTTACAAAGCATGCTTGTGAGTAATCCAGGACTGCTTATAAATATACCTTCTAGATTCGATTCTTTGACTCCTCTCATCAATAAATCAGCTTCCCTGTCAATCAATTCAATAATCTCTTGCGTCAGTTTACAGTCGTGTTCTTTTACAGTATGTTTTAGGGTCAGCAGTACATCCAATCTTTCATCCTGCGTTAGGTGCTTCATGCTAAACGTACTGTAAATGTCCCGTAATTCTTGGGCGCGGATGGTGTAGAGCGTGTCCATCTCCGTTATCTTTCCGTCAAAATCTTTCCATTGCTTTGGGGCCGCAGCCTGTGGAGAGAACAAAGCGGTGTAAATAAATATTTTTATGTGAGAATAATTTCATATCAGTATCTTTAACAAGGTTTTTAAATAATGTACCACTGTGAAGGGGTCAGATGTTAGCCGCTGCACAGCGTAAAATGAGAGACAAAATTTGCAACACTTGACCTACTTTCAGTATGAAAAGGAAGACAACATTTTTTTTCACGAGTCAGCTTAGTCTTCCATAATTTGAGCCGAATCATTTTTTGAAATCACGTGAAATGACATCTACTGATGACGTGCCACTGCCCAGATCTGGGTAGTGTTTCTGAATGGTTAAGGTTAATTTCCTGTGACCAATCACAAGCACTACAAAGATCTGGGTTGTGACACGTCAAAAGTACGGTATTTCTGCGCAAGTTTCTCAGACGACAATAGTGAGCTTATGCAACAGGACGGTAGTGGAAAGAAGAATGAATGAACACTTTAATTTTAATATGGTGCAGAATTACAGACCATCTGCACTCTTATGGCCCTAGACGGAAACATTATGTGACAAGGAGGACAAAAATTTTGCTTGAAAACTTTTCCGCAGAACTTCACCTTCCTTTTACAGGTCTTCTTGTAAAGGACCAGAAAACAATAAGTTAAGTGAAGTTCACCAAAAAACACATAAGTAATAGCCCTGTCACGTTTGTCACACATGTTTGTCCTCTTCTTTCTGCCTTCCTTATGCGTAAACTCACCATTTTGCGGGGGGAACCAGTAGTAACGTCACGAAATGTCGGCTGTTTTCAATTTCACAGACTGTAAGTTACCCGACATTACAAAAACAGACAGGTTGCACAAACCTTGTTTAAAAAACTCTTGATCCTCTTGTCCTTGTTTTCCTCATCAGCAACCAGCTTGTGTCTATCGATGGAGGCAATAAGATGCGCTTCCTGTTCTAACAGCCCAACAAGGGCTGTTTTTCTCTCTGGACCAGAGTAGAGCTCGTCTATAAGGGCCATTTCTTCATTACGCCATTCTTGAAAAATAACAATACAAAAATGTATTAGCAGTAAGTAAGCCACAAGCATCGCATTCCAAGTTTACAAGGAGAAATCAATGTTGGGTAAGAGCCAGAAATCCGCCCTCAAGAAAAAGGGTTAAAAAAAATTCTAATGATGTGGGAGTGTGTAGTGTTAGCCTCAAGTCAGACTGTTAAGTAACGACAAATTATCAAAAATTTTATTGAATGAGCGTAGGCGCAACCAAGAAATGTGAAAATCAAGACAAGCCTCTACACTTAAGACATTTCAATCAACTTACTCTCTAAATGTGAATAAAGAAGATCAAAGTCTTCCTTTGTCTTGGGATTCATTCTTCTTTCCCATTCGTTTCTTATTCTTTCTGCTCTTTCCCTCTGTTTCCTGAGCTCTTCCTGTCTTTCCCATTTCTGGCGTCGGATGCGATCTTCTCTTAGCTTTTGAACATAATTCTTTGCTAGCCACCTTCTCCAATATGTTTGCAGGATAATAACCTGGAAAACATGTTAAATATAACAAAAGGATTATTGAGCCTCTCTATGGATATCTACAGACTATGTTTTTGTCGCACGTTTTCCACTAAATTAATGTTTTTTTTTTACAACAAGATCGTTGTATAGCAAGAACTATTTTGTGTAGTAATATTGCTAGCAATCTTGAATGATGTAACCATGGTGACAACAACAAAAAGCCCAAAAGTGTGACTGTTTTTGACTTATTCACCTTCTTTCGTACAGATTTAATCCAATCAGAAACCAGCTGGAAACTGTCCTTGACTTCTGATTGGTTAGTGTCTACATGGAAGAATGTGAGTTAAAGGTTGGGCTCCTTCCTGTAATAACCATTAAGCAACACAAAAATTCTGAACGTGCATAGACGTTTTGACAGACGTCTTTGCTAACAAAGCACAACTAACGTTTTCAAATGTGATCTTAATGGCAATGCGATCAATCTCCTTAGATTTCGTCGGAAATACCCAAAGAGTCAGCTAGTCTCATTATTAAATGTTAAAACACTCTTAAAGCTCCAAAATCATGAATTTTAGCTAACACGCACTGACCTTCTTTAAAATTTTTCTGTGATGCTCCTCAGCTGTAACATATCTGCCTGGAATCAGTATTTTATCTGTGACATTTGATACATAACATCCATCTTTGGTCTAATAAACGAAGAAACAAAATTAAAATACAAAACTGCACACTTCATTAAAGCATTTAACAGCCAATTTTCTCAAACTCATGATATACCATTTGTGTTGATGTTGTATTTGTTGTTTGCTGAACTCTGTTTCTAAGTTTGTAAGTCTGAGTATCTCGATGAAACTTCTCAACAGAAGATGGTACACGGATCTTTGGAATTGTTTGAGCAGCGGCATTATGGAACTCTACTCCTGTTAGTCTATGTTTGTAGCCTCCTAAGAATGGCTTCTTTCTGTTTTCTTGCACAATGTGAACAACCACCTCGACTTCCCTGCCATCTGAAAATAAAATCAACAACAAAAATAATTTTAAAAAAAATTCCTTTTCAGGTAGTGATGACACTGGCAGCATTAACGGCCGGTCGATTCAGACGTTGCTGAGGGTGTAAAGACTACTCCAAGTAATTGTCTGAAATTCAGGCTACAATGTTGTTACGTATTCCCACTCAGAGAGGATTGCGAAGGCCTTCTTTAATAACATGGGACTTAATGGTGTAATATTTGTCAAATAAGACGTTAACATTGTATGGGCTGATGTTATGCTGGACCTCTTTCATGGCAGGTCTCTAAAACAGCAAAAGTTTCATGGGATTGGTGTTCTTTGATAATAATATTGTCAGTGATGAACAAGAAAAGATGGCATACGGTCAGCTGTGTAAATTGAGTTACTGAGTGCAAAATGAGCCAGTTGTAACATGTATCAAAATCTGGCAGTTTGTAGGTTGGTGATACTTTGGTGTACTTCAGATCAAATAACACTGTCTGATCTTCTACAAGTTTCCCTTTACGGAGAGAGTACAAAGGCATATTAATAAAGTCAGCAGAAGTTGAAAAATTGACTTGTTACATTCAGAAATATTAATTTTAGTTTATAAGTCTTTTATCATACCTGTAACAACTAGTGACAAAACAAAAGGTAGTGCTATATAATTATTTTGCCTGGGATTTAGTAGTGCAACCACATTACTAAAGTGTCCATAAACATAACTACGATATACATGTATTAATAAAATGAAATCTAACATCATGACTTACTAGTAATTATCTCATTTTTCTTATGATACAGTCACTTCGGATTTAAAACCATTTTTTCGGTTTTAACCGAGCCGGAAATTAATAACTAAATGATGACTCGCCTCCGGTTGTGGAGTAAGGAATGGTTTGATTGGAAGACCGCAAAAAGCAACTTTCAGATCAAAAATGAATCATTTCATATACTTCACATCATTTCAGATCATGGTCTCCAAATCCACGGGTCGTTCCAATAGTGTCCAACAAACGCGCCTAGCAACCAAAACAAATCAGATTAATTTCAAGGAGCCCTGAAAGTTCGCAGTAATTTTCAAACAATTTTCAGGCAAATTTTTGAAGCCCCTAAGGCTCCCCCTAGCTAACCAAACTTTAAACAATGAATAATGAACTTTGCTTATGGTCCCCTCGATTCCCGATAAAACTAGTCTAAGTCCCCAGCCGCTCGGGCCGGGGTCACACAATGCTCCCCGCCCCCAGCGTCGGGGAGCATTACGTGACTCCAGCACGAGCAGCTGCGAGGAAGACTACAAGCGAACTCAACCAATCATTAGCTTTAATTACCAATTTCTTTTGTAAATAGTCAACAGCCAATATGTGTGATGCATACTATCACAGATAGTTAACAATCACGCTACCACAAAAAGTTCTCAAAAGTTGTAAAATGCGAAATTTGTGTTGAACCACTGGCAATGTTTACAAACAAAACTGGAAAGGCACAGCAACAAATCCGTACTTTTTGGAAAGTTTTGTGTTAAACTGCTAGCAACGTTTACAATTAAAACTAGAAAGCACAACTTTCGGAAGGCCTGTCTCTGTCTACTACCACTCGTAGCTTTCCATTCTCAATGCAGGTTGTTCCCAAGCCTTTTTCCACCGGCAACCTCGAATCTAAAACAAAAAGCGCGAACTGCGACAGAGAACGAGACAAAAGTGGTCAGATGAAGGAATCCAAGGCGAACAGGATGGCGCAGATTTTGTCAGAACACGACCTACTCTGCCTCTCTGCACTTTATATTGCCAAAGAGAACTGGCTAAGGGCAAAGCTACTAAACATTCCTTCTACAAGATGATATTTCATGCACGGGCGAGAAACGTCACTGTTACAGCTGTACCTTCTTTCCTTCCCCATGAACCATAGGAAATTTTCGAGCATCTTCCTCCGTAAATGTCTTTAAAGCCCTGCCAACAATACAATTGCTTGTTAGTTGTTTAGAGGTTTATATCCAGCTTACAAGAGCAATGATGTTCGGTCTACAGAGAAATGACAATGCAAAGCGCGCAAAAATATCAGTTTTATTCATATCAATAATCATCGTAAAGAATATAAACCCAGAATTATACGCAGGCTGATTCTATTTGATCGTCGAGCTGAATGTATCGCAACGAAAAAAAGTACTCAGCCCAAAATCAAGTCAAAAACAAAACAAAACAAACAACAACAACAACAATATGGATGTACAGTACTTGGTAACAATTGATACAACTGACTTTTTCATGCTCTTAGAAACATCCCGTTGCAGGCCATTCTATCAAAATACTGAGGAAGAAGAAATGTGCCAAATTGCGTGATGCTCGTCATGTAGATTTTTTGTTGTTGCTGACGGTCTTGTCGTCGTCAACGTCGTCTTTGATATAGTTCCCTACTTTCGAGCGGAGGAAAAAGGCAACCTTCCACTTCCACTTCGCCCAACAAAGTGCATGAGGCTAGAGCAGGAAGTAGGGTACAATAATTTCGTCGCGCTCTTTATAAAAGAAAATCATTTTCTAAGCGACAATTTTCATGGTGATGTCAAAATAGTTACCGAGTCTCTATAAAAAAATCTGACAGCTACCGTGACAACGCAAAACAAGAATGCTAAGCACTGCAATAGCCTGAGTATCAGGCCTTCCTACGGGGTTAGGGGAGAGGAGATTTTAGATGGGGGGGGGGAGGGGGAGAAGAGAAAGGAAGGCCTGACACAAATCCATTCAGCAAATCGTGTGACACATCCAAAATCTGGATGTGGCAGTCATTGGATAACACACAATACCCCTTGACGTCACCGACCGCAAGAGCGATCGGCAAGGAGACGTTCATTGAAATTTTTCATAGATGTTTTGATTTCATGTTACCGATATGTGATGCTTTTACAGACAGAGACGCAGAGAGGAATTCAAAAAGGCTCTAGAGGGCGCTCTCAAGTTCTTTCCTGGAATAAAAATAAAACCCGAGCAAGAATTGTGTTTTCAAGGCCTCGTAGTTTAAAGGAAACATGTACTCGAAGTAAGGAAGAGCCTCATATACCACCTTCGGCCGAAACTATGTCCAAGTATTGGTTTCACAAGACCGGGACAAAGAAGACGATATCAGTGTTTCAGATATCTAAGTTCAGATTTACAACATCCTGCCGTTAAAAGGGTATTATTACTGTAAATGAAAATAGAGCGAGGTAGCCATGTATTGAGATAGCCGCGGGGATAGCCGACAGCACCAATGCTTTTAAAAAGCTTGACTTTGCTTGTTGCGGTTACGATAACGTACGTGATTGGAATTCGTTCGCTTCCTCTTCCAAAATCTTCTCACTTTTGAAATGTCTTAAGCTCAAGCGGGCGCCATCATATTTAGCCAGCGGGATTGACCTTTGCTATAGGCTCTCACTTGTTTTGAACTTGTAACAGCTTTCACGAGCTCTCTGTGAAGTGGTGGAATCTGCTGCCGCTTGATAATTTCTAGGCATAGGTGTGTCACTATCGCACCTTCCTATATATTCTTACAGCTCCTTTCAACCACCCGAGAATACGAGGGATAACACCAGCTTTTTAGCTGCCAGACAAGCGCCTGATTTAACTCTGTAAACAAAAGCAATTTACAATTTTCCGGACACACGTTTGTTTACAAACATAGCGTTGGCGATCTTACACTAGCACAATTCCTAAACCCTGTTATAATTCCTCATAAACGGCAGGTTTTACATTACAAGTATTCGAAAACTCCTCATTGGAGGTTTCAGAAAAAAGCGAAATCGTAGCAACACAAGCACCGGAGCTCGGCCCGACCGTTAAGTGAGATTTATTTCAGGCGAGCTTTTTGACACGTAAAGCTGACAACCCAATGAGCGGGAGTGATTTTGATTGGATGGTATCGAATCATGCTGTGTGAGGGTGGAAGGCTCCAGTAAAAGCATCTGTGTCAGGCGTTTCTTTCCTTCACCTCTCTTCCTTTTTCGCTTCCATTTTTCCCCTTTTCCCCAGAAACGCCTGATACTCAGGCTAGCACTGCAAGGGATCTGTCAACAAGGCAACTGCTCCGATTGCTATGATAAGAGGGATTTCCTGCGCATGCCCTAACATTCTGATGTCGCTGAACGTAAAGCTAAACGCCGCATACACACCAGGCCCGGTTCCTGAAAGGCCGATTTGCGCTAATCCAGAATTACAATTTTGATGCACTTTTGGATTTTACCTTCCTATGTATTGCTTCGAGTAACTTTTTGTGTAATCATCACCTTATCTCGGAGTAATGGCTCAACAGTATTTGTAAGCTCGAGTTGCAAAACCTTGCTTGAAATTTTGCTCAATCTTGGGTTAAACTTAACCATCTTTCGAGGAACTGGGCCCTGGCTCTTGTTGTTAACCTTATTTAAACTCAGTGAAGTTAACTTTCCTAAAAGAGCGTAAATCAACTTAACGTACCATCCTGTCATATGTCGGTCTCTGTAAAGAAGCTGCTGTCCAACGTGTTTTTTCCTTACTCTCTGTTGAAACTCGAGTCTACCAAAGTCGTTACCTAGAAGCTGTGGCCGCTGATAAGCCTACAAAAGAACATCGGAAAGAAAACCAAGTTGACTAATGAGAGATTCAAACATCCGTGTTATCTTAACTTCATCCCGCCAAAATACACGTTTTACTCAAATTCACAAACATTGAGGTAAGTATTGAAGGAACAAGCTCTGTTGAGCGATCCTCCAGCTAAAACAGGTAACGACTTCATTTCGTTGCTATGATGACTGCGATGTCAACATAACACAGCTCATGACAAATTTTCATATTTGTCTGATAAAGCATGGGAAATCGTGTTTTCACATAGATATTTGTTAATGGCAACGAGTTTTGTGCTCAAATTTGGGACACATTGGCCCTGAAAAATCCAATCGAGGTATCTTATTATCACAGAACAAGCTGTTAGTGCTTTGTACATTTAACTGTTACAGAATGATAGATTCAGACCCCCTTTGGTCTAACCTTTTGCAGCCAGCAGGCAACCACTTTCAGTCCGGTTACACTGCATTTATGGTAACTAGCTCGCGGAGGAGGCGTATGTGGTGGGCGCGAAAAGCAAATGCACGTGGCATGCATGTTTGGAAGGGGAGAGCGGCATGTGCACGTGGTTGGTACACGTGACAGGTAATTGAAATAAATAAAAAAATGCTGGTTACGAAAGGAATGAATCGAACGCTGTCTAATGCAAGAAGCGTGAAAAAAACAAACAAACAAACAATCACATTTCTGCACTATGCACTTTTTGAAAGACAACAATAAACGTGATTCTTACAATAAGCTGAACTCTTTGTCTTTCTGTTTCAGGAGTGAAGTCTCTGGACAAAGGAATTACTTTTCCTTTATGAGCTACGACTGCCCTACAAGAGAAAAAAGTAAAAATTGAAAGCATTAATCAGTGCTCGACACTAATGTTTTTGGACACTAGGCATAAATTATTAGCCCACAAGGACAAGCCATTGGTCCAAGAAAAATGGCGGTTGTTCAAAACTTAAAAGTGTTTGTAGCCTGTACTGGGGGTTCAGAACTTTTACGACTCTTAATAGAGTCCAGACAGAAATTTTCTGTGTCTGGGACAAAAGGAGAATTCAGATTTGCTGACCTATCAGCACTACTGTTCGATTCCACACAAGTTCCTCCATATGAATCGCATAAAAGGATTTTTCTTCCAATTTCATTAAAAACTTCTTAACCGCTTATCGCACTCTATTTCTCTTCATGTCGTGTGTGATCCTTTAGTTTCAGTTTCAGTTTCAGTTCATTGTTTTGCCATAAGTTGTACTAAAGCAAGAAAAACTAATTATTTAAACTCTCATGGCTAGGAGGCCCAAGAGAAGCCACCGGAATTATAAGGAATGGGCTCCCTAATGTAAAATAGTAAAAACAAAATGTTATCATAATTACACATGGAAAAATCAATGGCAGACCTACAGTAAATCTTAAAATATACAACAAAAATGACAAAAAAAAAATGAAAATGAAAAGGAAAGGTAAAAAAAATAAATAAATGAATATTTATGATAAGAGGAATGCTTTGAGCTTACAGCAATGAAACACAATGAAAATCTGTGTCAGCATCATTGGCCATTGAAGGGCGCTTTCTGGAAGGTAGTGTTTTTAAGAAAAAGCTCTTTCATTCTTGTGGTGAATGTGCACAAATAAATTCCAAGATGATGGACCCTCGATGGCTCTCACCCACCCAGGCCCAGGCCCCTATTTTATTGAGTGACGTGAAAACAAGGACGTAATTCCATTTCCAATATGGTATCCATGCTGCGACTGGAGTCAACTGTACGATATGGATAGCAAATACTTTGGCTTACATTTAAACTAGCTATGGATGAAGCGTTTTAGAAAAAGAACTCTTCAAGTTATATGGCTGTAGAAGATGTATTTATTTATTCGTTAAACTAACCTGTCTAGGGGCTAGTTGGAGCACATTTTTACCAGCCCAGCATGACGTTTTACTAGTCCTGGGCTAGTGGACTAGAGTTAGTGTCGAGCACTGATAATTATGGAAGTGAATGAGCCTCTTGTAACAGGGGACAGCTATTCGTTCTGAGTTGTTTTTCTTGAGTTATGTCAAAAAGTTATACAATGTAGTCAAATTTAAGAGCTTCAGAAGGTGCAATGTTAATGCAAAACTAGAACATCAAGTTCATTTAGTCGTTTACACAGGATTTCTATTGATTTTGCAAATAAGTGGGTGGGTGGATAATCGGTGAGTGGGTGGATCGTGCAGCATAATTTATGATTGAAGTTTTGTCTGTGAGCCCAGATTATAGTGAAATTTACTCACTGACCTTTGATTATTACCAGTAGATATTAGGTCATAGCTTTGTTAGCATCAATTAGTCAATAAAAACAAATGCCCTTCATTCTTATCCTACCTGCAGTCCCCTGCATTAGCCACATATAATCTCTTTCCTAAAAACAGTGCTACCAAAGCTGCACAGCCTCCATCAATCCTGTAGGTCACTTTCTCTCTTCTAATCTGTTCATCCTGTGTACCAGAAAAAAATAATAATACCCATTAATTATTAATCTTTATTATATAAACACCAATGAAATACCAGCTGAGCTTTTGCAGACACAAAAACATGATATCTTCACATGAGAAAATAACATTACATGTTATCTTCACACGTGAAATATCACTTTTGCTATGGCTACATAATAAATCACGCCTTTCACAGCAAACAACTATTTCAGTGAAATGGTTTGGTTTATGTGTTGAAAAAAATTAATATTTCACTTGTTTGCTGCACTCGCTTGTGAAATATCTTGACTTTCAACACTTAAAGAGAAATTTGTATTATGATCTCTGCGCAGCCAAAGTATGATCCCGCAGAAATATCAATAATTTATTTTGAAACAAGCAGGTGAAGGCAGCAACATTACTGATTCATAAACAGTTGTCATCCTCTGTTTCCAACTCTATTCTTCTTCATCAAATTTTTAAAATTAGGCCAAATGAACGGACACCACGATGGCCAGAATGTGGCTACGGCCACTTGATGGGGGTGGCCACTTAACAGAGGTTAAATTTACAATGTCCTTTGCTACATTTTTAATTTATTTTAAGACTTTGACTACTCATTCAAAAGAGGGAGGCTGCTTTTAAATGGAAGTTCAATTGTGATTTTAATGCAACTCTTACAGTTCTAGAGGAATAATATCTGAACGTTCATTGCTACACTGTACAGGTGACAGAGATTAAGTCAAACAAAATGAGAGACTGTTTACAGCACTCACTAGAACACGTACATTTTCTACTAATAAGACTACACACGTATAGTTACCCAAGAGTCACAGACAACCCACATGGCACAGACCTACCATTTCGAAGAAAGCTTCTTCCAAAACTCCAATAACAAGACTATCAATAGTAACAGATGACACAACAGCATCTGCTAGCTCTTCAGCCATGGCAAGTTTGTCATCACTCTCATAGGCTAACAGTTCTTTGATTCCTTGTAGCTTTTCCATGATGTGAAAGTGCAGTTGGTTAACAGCCATCAGAGATGCCCCACATCCTGCATGGCCATCAAATACACCAAAATAGGCATAGGGTATCTTTGTCTGAAAACAATCAAGCAAAAGCAAAAAATCAATCAACTGACTATAACAACTTTATTTAACTCAAGAATTTGCTTCAAAAGGACTTTAATGTATAGCAAATGACAATGTCAAGAGAATGTCAATGTGTTTAGCAGGACAGTACTAACTGGGGACGCCATTGTGTGGTCATCCGAGCTACGCGAAGGTCTAGTCATTTGCAAGGAAATGGTAGTACCTTCATTTCTCAGTTATTTTTAGACCCTGAGTATTGTCCCGGGCCCCGGAAATCGAACCCGTGAGCTCCCACTCTGCAATAAAGCACTCTACCAACAGAGTCAGAGCTAATCCTGCCATGGAAGTAATGGAAATACAAAAAAGAGGCTCTCATTGGCAGTGAGTAGCTTTTTTACAGATGTGTTTACTTTAGTACTTTTCCATATATTCATTCATTTCCTTGTGGCATGTTAGAAACCTTAAGGCCGTTGCAGGAGGTCAGAAGTGTTGCTTCAGAATCAGGTGGTAAATTTTAAAGGTTACCGCCTGATAAGGAAAACACTGGGTGAGGTGAGGAACTTTTAATCCCAGTCTTTTAATTCCTGTCTTAATTGTACCTGACTAACACGAGTAGGACTTCCTTCATCATCAGCTTCACCAGATGATTTGCTGACATTTAAACAGAACATTCCAGCCACAGATTGGTCTTCATTCTTGTTTGGTGTTTTTCCCGCATTTATGGTTCTAAACGAAATACGTTAAAAATCAAAACTGATAAATTAGAAACAATCATTCTAATTAACAGTTAAATGAGGCTGATGAATGAGGCTGAGTATTTTATGAAGAATTATGGAGATCAAGGAGGGTGTTATCCATCGAGGCCGTAGGCCGAGGCGGATAACACCCTCTGAGATCTCCATAATTCTTCATTTGATACGAAAGCCGAATTCAATAACTGTTTTATTATTCATTCAAAATAATTCCTAGTTTAAAAACATAGCTAAAAACTAAAACAACTCAACCTCGTCCCCAGGTCTTCTCAGTTAACGGTGCCTTAACCTGCAAAAAGGCTGCATTTTTGACGTCATTTTCTCGTTAAAGTCAAAATTCTTCCAAATTTGGTCATCAGTAACTGGTTATGGTGAATTAAACGTGTGCTTTTAGCCAATCAGAATTGGGGAAATATTTTGAATGAATAATAATAGATAATATTAAACAGCAGTGGTAGATCTAGGAATGGCATTCAGGAAACTCTTAATGATAAAAAAAAAAAAAAATCAGTAACAACAAGTATTTATTTTTTTTTTAGTGGTTATAGCACATCAAACCACAGCTCCCCTTCTACCATTCTGGTTGGAATTTCTTATAACTACTGTAGTTCCAATGACATGTTTTTACTTAATAGCTGAGAGGCACACTCAGGTAACCCTAGCGATAAAAATCCCTTTCATTTGCTGCTGGACTACTACAGGGCAAATGAAATGAAATTTTCACAAGTTTGTTTTCAAGGCCCCACATTTTCAGTTTTAATTCCCTTAGTACAGAAACTCACAATATCTCTAGTCAAGGTTTCTGATATTTTAGCGCCATCTCGCAGCCATGAAATTCAGGTAAGTTCACAAAATCCCATGAAATTCACAAAAACATGCAAAATCCCACAAAATTTGCAAGTAATCTTATCAAATACCTGTTGATACAACATATTTGAAACTTATCTTGACTATCTGGGATGTTTAAATGCCATTAGTTATTATAAATAATTTGATATAATCATTGTTCCTGAAAAGCCCTTTTGAGGAGGTTGTATGTGTGTATGTATGTATGTATATGTATAAACTTGCAAATTTATCTTGAAACTTCTTCACCACAACAAGCAAACAAGGTCCCAAAACTACTAGGCATAAATTATGTTGCAAAAAATTGGGCACTAGTCATGATGTTAAAAGCTTTGCCATCACTTCACACAAGCACTTTGTTGTTAAAATAACATAAATTATGATTATCTTCCTAAAAAACATTACACACACTCATCAAATCAGCGCAAAATCCCGCGAAATCGGCCATTGTTTTTTTTTGGCCGTAACCTATTAGAATAGTCACAGCTCTTTTTGAGAGGTCACAGGTAAGTTATGCTTACAGTTTGTCACCAATTATATAAAAATGGGACCACTAAAAAGCAACAAAATACCATCCTCAAAAAATAAAAGAAATGGTGAACTATCACTTTATTGAAAGGCAATGGTCCCAAAATTTACAAAACTTACTCATTACAAAAAACTTCGCTGAATTTGAACACTTTTGCGTTTTACCGTGAAACCCAGAAAACATAAGTCAGTGATCTAGCTGTATATTTAAGCAATAAACTCATAGCTGCATATGAATAATGTCATGTTTAAAGCGTTTTTGAACGTATTTCCGGTGAGCTATACACATCAGTTAGTTTATACTATTGATCTTCCACGTCATGTTAAACGTTGCTATCTTAGGGTTGCAGAAAAACTATATTGAGGCATTCATTATTCAGAGAGCCAGGATCCGCGATCGACAACAATTTTCCCCTTCACGACTGTGTTGATAGGTTGGGTAGGAAACAAATTTAATATCAATGAATTACGCTGAGATATTAAAAGACTGAAACTGGAAGTCTCCCTAACAGGAAACGAGCTGAGGGCTGAAATAAATTCCTTTTTAATTTTAAAGGATCAATAGAAAACCTTTCAAAACTGATCATTACGTGTGATGATCAGATTAGCCAACTTACGTACGGTCGATTACAACAAACCAGCGAGATAGCAAGAGACAGAGATAGAGCTTTCCACAATAGATATTTTCAACTTACTCGGCGTATCCAGCGTTAAAAGGTAGTTCCCTGTGTGGAATAATAATCGGTCTTGACTCGTGATCCGATGCAGCTTGTTCAGATTCCTCGTTCAATTGAAGAAACTCGGGCCGTCTGTAGGTGTATTTTTCTTCTAACATATCATCGTAAACTCGGAAACCCAGCCGCCTGTCTGAATTGACAGAGGCAAAGTAAGCAAACGCATTTGCCGGATTGATGTTTAGCATTCGTTTGAGGCCATTAAAGCTCATATTTTTCTAAAAGATCCCTAACTTCTTCCGCAAGGAAAAATAATTATACAAGTTCCATTAATTTAAACAGGTAACCGCTGGACAAGAAACCAGTGGTTGAAATCGCCTCGTTCTCGCGAACGCGACCGTGGCGCGTGGACGCGACAAAGGGGTGGGGGTTGGGCGGGTTAGGGCAAGGAGAGAGGTAAATGGAAATAACTAAGTCAACTAATAAACGCTGGATAAATTACGTCAGCGACGCAGGCTACAAAGTGAATGGAAAATAAACGCTTCAAAAACTGACTCGACCAGTTCATGGCCAGGCAACAACCAGCCTATCTATTCTTGGTTTGCACGTGACGTCACCAAAAATCAAACTAAGAAACTATCGATTCTTCTGAGTTTCTACTTTCACGAGGTATTACAGTACCTAAACACCTTTACATAAACAAATTTTTGGTTCGAAAGGGTTCTTCGTTTTGTGAGAGAGGACGCTTGAATTTCCAGGCTTTTGCGTGACGCGGCATTTAGCTGGCGGCTGGGAAAGCTCTTATCTGGGTTAAAAACATTACCGATTTTGGGAGATTTTGCAATCTAAATACCCCTTGTCTCAGAATAAATATTACTGTAATCTTTATGAGTTCCTAAAGCGAAGAATTCACGTATTAGTAGGAAAACTCGAAAACAGATGTTTCTGTTGGTATCCGGAGGCCACATTGGTGTTCCTGAAAGGGACACCAACATGGCGTTTCCATACGAAGCTTCATAAAGTCTAATAGAAATCTTCTCTTAATTCAACGGTATGACGTCAAAATGACGTCAAATTACGTCATTGTCTCAATCAAGTTTATTTACCTAGATGTTAGAGATGATATTGCTCTATGTAATTTAATAATGAACTTATCATGAGCGAGCCTACCGCCTTTCCAGACCATTTCTCTCTTACAGGTCATTTATAACTCATTCCTTTAGAACTTATTAAAATTCACACGTGCAGGGGCAGTGGGGAATTCTTGGAGGGGTTGCATTAATTGTGCCGCTCGGTTCACCGAATCTTGACCCTATTTCCGACGAAAAAATGTCATTTTCCACACCCGTTTTTGGACGCTGACCTCTAAAATCCATACACGTTTTCAGACCTCGAGGTGGTCACAAAACTCAACATACGTACTTGACAGAAATTATATCATCATTGTTGAGACTAGAACGTCAACAAAAAGATTTCTTTCTTTCTTAATCATTTATAATTGAAGCGACGAACACATTCATACACTACCGTAGTTCAGTTGTAAACCATACCCGATTCCAGACGGAAATGGGAAAAATCTATACCCGTTTTCAGACCAAACCGGCGCCAAAGCCACACCCTTTGGTATGTACTTAAATTTTTCCGAATTTTGGCGGGTCGGTGTGGTAGTGTAGTGGTGAGATCCGAGAGATTAGGATACGAAAGTCCGCGTTCAAATCCTGGTTTGGGATTTTCTTTCTTTTTAATAGAAACACTCAAAAACAGTTCAAAAATTTTCCAAGTGTCTTACGCCGGCGCATAAGTATCTGGCTTCTTAAGGGAGTACCCCCCCCGGGTCCAAGTGGTCCTTGCAAGATTTGTTCGCTAAGATGTCATGCGGGGTTTTCAAGTTATAGAGGGGGTACCCCCGAAGGCCGAAGCCCCCACCCCTGCAGCAGGAAGCAAAAATTAAACCCGGTCTGAATAATGACAAGGTCTTGAAAGTCGGGTCGTAAAAAATAATGGCATTCATTTCTCTATAAGTTGGATGGGGGCTTAAGAGCGGCTTTAATAGGCCATTATCCCCGTGAGGGAGGGGGCTTGTAAGCCAAAGTTTACGGCATCCAGCCCCTCCCCTTGAATATATTTTTGGTGGACGATAGTCTTACCAAGCACCGTTTACTTTCAGGTTATTTTAAACTTAGCACCTTCATTCGGAGAAAGGAGATGCTTATGCAAACAGCGAAGCTTAATCAGTGTCGATTAAAATGGCCACACTAGCTATATAGTTCAAATTATCCGTAAACATTTGGTAACGATGATCCAGGTTTTGCATTTATAATTCAAAGAAACATGTGTTTAGTGATATAATGATGTCTCTGACTAACTTTTCTTATTATTAGTCCAGATGCTCTTAATTCCAACATTTGGTCTCTCATCTACCTTGGAATAGAGGCCTGTGTTAATCAACACACAGGCGTCCCGCGCTCACGTCACAAGTGTGTTGTTAGTTAACTTTCTCACAAGAGAGTCGATGTCGCGTTAAAAGCAACAGTTGAGACTTCGCATGAGAAACAAAATACTGAGGTCTGCGACCACTAAATATCATTATTATTCAATGAAGTTTCCCCGTTTCTGATTGGTTAAAACCACACGCATAATTCACCAAAACCAGCTGCTGTTGACCAAATTTGGAAAGAATGTTGTCATATTAAACCGATGACGTCAAAATGACGTCAAAAGTACAGCCTTTTTGCAGGTTATTGAACCGTTGACAGTGAAAACCTGGGGACGAGGGTGAGTTGTTTTGGTAGTTAGAACAAAATGGCGAAACTGTCGTGGAACATTTTACTCGTCTTACGGCGAAATATTGTCTAAAAACATCGCAAGAACAGAAGAAGATAACTCGACGGACAACATCTGCTATGAGTATATTTCTCAAGTAGTTTAAGATCTGGGACTAAGGGGTTTTCCTGTGGAAAATGAATTATTGACTATAACTTCAGCATAGATGATGGTGCTGAATCAAAATTTGGCACACATAGAGAACTCATCGTCCTTAACAGACAGTGTTGATAAGTCACGTGATATGTCACGTGGCCATTTTGCTACAAATCGTAAATTATTGACCAATTGCAGGAGCCCATCAATTGGAGGCCAGTTTAAGAAAAGAAATCGGGAAGTAACATTTTTCTAATTCAGATTAACTATTTCTAACATTTTACGTTTGGAATGACCGTTCATTGCACTTCGATAAAAAATTATGAGGGAAAACAACATTTTTAATGCCCAAATTTAATCTTGAATTATCTAAAATTTTAATTTTAAACTTCGCGTACATTCATTCCAAACGTAGAAAGTTAGGTATGTCCATCCTCTTTCAGAAATGCCAATTTGTTTATCGCCACCAATTTGCCAATTTCTTTCATTTTAAAATTTTTGGTCACGTGACATGTCACATGACCATAATTAAACGTTAATGCACAAGAAAACCTCAAGATGTACTTTCGGGGAAAATTTCAATTTGTTCTAGGTCTCCTAGCGGGAAATAAAGCCAATTGTGCATATGCTCAGAACACATCTTTGACCCAGGCCTTAAACCCCTTGAGTTGCTGACCTGAGCAGACTTTAATCTCCTAAACTCAGTCCCGATAAAGATGCATTATCTATATGCTTAAATCGACCGAGGTTAGCATGTTTTAGCTTGTTTTTAACCTTGGAATTATTTTGAAGGAATAATAAAACAATTATTGAATTCGCCTTTCGTAGGATATGAAGAGTTCTGCAGATTGAGGAGGGTCTAGGCGACCTCGGTGGATAACACCCTCCTCAATTTGCAGAATTCTTCATATCCTACCCAGCCTCATTCAATAATTGCTGAATTATTCTTTCTTATTTTTCTATAAAATAAATAAGGGAGACTTAAGTTTGATGTCATCCTGTACTTTTTGGTGTAAATTCATCGATTTAGTCGATTTTTTTTGGCTGTTATTGTTTGACCCCTGTCACTGTGACAGGGGTCAAATTCATGGTGTTACTAAAGATATACTCAGTAGACTCTGTATAGAAGCAATATACACATACATATATATTTTTAAATCCAGATCAAAGTGTAATCCCAGGTTGATGTCATTAAAGAATGCGAACGAGTGAAGATTAGTGAAACCGTTTGTTAATTAACGTTGCGCATTCTTTCTGATCCATAGTTCTAGTACCATTCCACTCTTAAAATTGATCGGGAATGATTTCGTGGTCGACACGAAGAGAAATGGGAAGCATTTCGGGATCGGGATTTATTTGCAGGGGTCGATTTGGGGATCATTTTGGGGCTCGGGATCATTTCGGCGGCTGTAGAGTCATTTTTAAATCGTAAAAGGCCGTTACTGAAAGGCTCGAGTTCGTATTACACGAAGCGGTCAACAACGTCAACCGTAACACAAAATATTATTCCTGTTTTTTATGGACAAATTTTAAAGAAAAAAGTATTACAGGTAACTTTCCCACACCTTCCATCTTCGAGTAAAGCCCTATGAAATTAAAGGAAATGACTGTGAAGGTGCAGAAATGAAATCTTAAAAGTTCCCAAAAGCTCATCGACTTCTTGATTATTTTATTCCATCAATTAGGCCGTCGTTCCATTCTGTGATATTAGTTTTCTTTTGAGGATGTCTCTGGGTGAAGAATGAAACAACAAACGAAAGACTCGCGCGTTCCACTTGTTAATTACTCCGTCTCCTTCCCTTTGAAACGCCTGAAACGCATGCGCAGGTTATTAATAGGCATGCGGGAAATGACGCTTAGTTTGAAGCTCTTTGGGTCCTTATTATTCAGAGCCGCACGCATTAGACACCGCGAGAACAACAGGCACGTTGACACTGTTTAAGAGCCGTTTAATGAGCTTAACGAATTCCCCTTTTTGTCGAGACGCGCGTACACAAATAGGTGTTCCATATGCAAAGCCTATAAAGGACATGAAAGAGACAACTCCTAAATACATAATTTCATCTTAAACCACAACGGCTATGAGGTTGAACGTTTGTGTAAGAACAATAAGAAACTCCCGTGGAATGAACTGTCCTCTGCTGGCCTAAAGAAATGTAAAATGGTTAATCATTTAAAAAGAAATTAAATGCCTGTTAACTGAAATTTCTTGCTAAGCAAAGAGGGATTGGAAATTTTAAATGTCTTTTAAAGGAGGTCCGACTGTACAAAATATTCTATGGCTTCATTTATTCAGTCATCCATCCATCCATCCATCCATCCATCCATCCATCCATTAGTTCGCTCGTTCGTT